AAACTAATGGATAAGTAATTGTATAACTCTTTTTAATAATAATATCTAGGATAGATATTTCAGCCCAAAAACCTTCTTTTTTTTGATACAGAAAAAATTCTGTTTAAGAATCATCTGTTTTGAACAGTTTTTTTCTCTCATATATATAGCACCGACACTTGATCCATATTGATATTAAATATTTGAAATTTGAATATTTCTATAGTACATAATTCCATAACCTTCAACCTATAGGGACATGTCAAATACTACCAGGTACACATTTATATATATAATGGAAGATATTATATATAATAAATGAGCATCACAGCATATATATATTTTGCTGCACACTTAATAAGCATGTGACATGTCCCTGTAACCCACATCTAATTATAGGTAAGTAGTGGGATTTTTATTGGAAGCCAATATCAACACATCCAACTAATAAAGTACTTTAAAACAAGACCCCCATGAGCCTAACAGGTCACCTGAGTTATAATACAATTGTTATTTGTTGTTGTGATATGACAAAAACAAAAATTACATATGTATAGCAGGGAATTTTGTCCCTCCCCAGAGAGGATTTGGTACCCCAGGGGTTGTGAAAATCACATTTTGATTAAGCACATCAGGATATTTCAATCCATTTCATCATATCTGGTTCTGAAGTAGACAATTACTGTTTTAGCTATTTTGACCCCTTTTGGCTCCGCCCCTCACGCCCTTAGCATGCACATGATGACAACTCCAAACAAGTATGAATGTGTTACTACTGTAAATGGATAAAATATATCTTGAAAAGTCTTATTTCCATAAACTATAGCAAAGTGTATCCCCTCCCCAGGAGTAAATGGGTGACATTTGAGGGATATACACCTCATATACATCAGGTATACACCTTCTATAAATCAAATATAAACACCTGCTCTAAACCTCCCATACATTACCTATACATCCAGCATCAGCCTCAATAAGTCAGATATCAACTATTCACCAGGCATACACCTAAACATCAGGTATATACCTTCTTTACATCAGGTATACACCTATAGATCAGGTATACACCTTCTATAGATTTGGTATACACCTACTACAGAACAGGTATGCGCCTCCCATACATCAGGTATATACCTTCTTTACATCAGGTATACACCTCATATGGATCAGGTATACACCTTCTATAGATTTGGTATACACCTACTACAGAACAGGTATACGCCTCCCATACATCAGGTATATACCTCCTATGGATCAGATATATACCTCCTATAGATCAGGTATACACCTCCTATATATCAGGTATACACACCTCCCATATGATACATCAGGTATACACCTATATATCAGGTATACATATCCTATAGATCATGTAGATCAGATATACACCACCTATAGATCAGGTATACACACCTCCCATATGATACATCAGGTATACACCTTCCATACATCAGGTATACACCTCCTATAGATCAGGTATACACCTTCCATGCATCAGGTATACACCTACTATACATCAGATTACACCTATACATCTATTAAGTATGCATGCACATATACATGAGGTATATGTCAGGTCCATATTCCCTGCAGGTAAGGTACCTCATCTTTATAATATTTCTCTGATTGGTTCCTATTGATTGCATGCACAGGAAATATAACATCATGTTGTTTGCTTGTGCTGGAGTTTCCCAATTATGTTCCCTTATTGTGGCCCCTCTAGAACAAGAAGCATAGGTGCATTAATTATCAATAGCTAACCTGGAATTTTCGTTTTCATTAAAAGTTGTTGATTACCTCTTACCATACAAGAAATATCAGCTTGGGGATCTCAACAATTTCCATGTTATGACTGAAGGAGTCAGTCCTCAGGGGTGGGCTCAGCTCCATTAAGGACTATATTGGTATCATGAGTGTTTTTCCTCTGCCTGTCCAGCAGCATCATATGGATGGGATCTTTACTGCTTTCATGTAAAATTTGGGGACTATAAGTCCCTTGTGGCAGGGGCGGACCCTGGCGCCAATCATGTAAGCATGGATGTATTCAGATGGTTACATGGTGGGGGATCCTAATTATCTCTACACCCAAACTTCCTCTATTGGCACCCAAATGCTCTGGCCCAGTGTTCTGCTTTGCCTCAGTATTTTTCAGACCAGAGATATGCTACAATTTTGGCAGTCATTCAGGAAGGGTAGGTTTTCGAAGATGTAATGTCTTGTTTTCCTCTTTACCGGAAAACATACCATGTATATATTTTGTATCATGTACATTGTATCTTCTGAAAAATGAGTCAGTACACTATATATAATAGAGATGATAAATACAGGTACCTTTTGCAATGAGGCTTTCCCTTACTCAATAAATAATGACTCTATATGAGGTAAATCTATAAACAAATTTCAGCATGTAGATGATATACATGTATATTTGAAAACTGTCTCGGGATATATTTCATATACATAACTAATTATAGAAACAGTATTCGAAATATGTAAAGATAGCATCATTTGTAAATAGTATATATCATATATATATATATACATAAAACAAGGCAAAGTATTACGTGTAAGGCAATCCATAGTCCCCCAAAGGTAATGATTTCTATATTTAACAAACAGTACCTATTATGTCAGATTGTATCTACTGTTAGGAAAGTATCCTGATACATACTTGCACTACTCCATCCCAAGATGTCCTTGTACACCAAATCTGGTTACTCCAGGTGAAATAGTATAGAATTACAGAGTGCAAACATATAATCCTGTATACCGCTCTTTATATACTATGTTACAAGACCAATCCTTATATACCCTGTATATCACTCTTTATAAGCTGTATACCATTCTTCTAATATACTGTGTATGCCACTCATTATATACTGTGTATACAACTCCTTATATTCTGTGTATACCACTCTATATGCTGTGTTTATCACTCCTTACATACTCTCTATACAACTCTTCTCATATAGGCGTAAGAATTGTACCTGCTGCCCCCAATTGCATGATCGTAAGAGGCGACTAAATTTGGGACCTTATCTCTTCTCTCCTTTCTTAATATCTTTCTTTTTCCTAATGTCTCCCTTGACAATGCCTCACTTTTGGCCATTTGTTGAGCGTTCGCCCCTGTGAGGAAGGCTTTGGGTTCTGTCCCCTGGCCGAGACATACCAAAGTCTTTAAAAATGGCAGTTTCTACTCCTGCTTAACGCTCAGCAANGCAGCCTCCCAAAATACACACACATACACTACACGCATGCATCTTGCACACAGGGGAGGCCGTCCTTAAATGACCTTAGCTGTTAATAGGATGTTAAACAAAATCAAACAAACAAACAAATATTCTGTGTATACCACTCTATGCTGTTTTTATCACTTCTTACATATACTGTATACCACTCTTTATGTACTATCTAGACAAATTATAACATACCCTGTAAACCACTCTATGTATACCATGCACATCACTCTTTATATACTCTGTATACCACCCTGTGTACTCTGTAAACCACTTTTTTATGTACACTGTATACCACTCTCTATATACCATTCTTTATATACTCTGTATACCACTCTCTGTATACTATGCAGATCACTCTTTATATTTTCTGTAAACCACTTCTTAAATACCCTGTTTACTAGTTTTTTTTATAATCTGTATACAAATCTTTATCTTTGTAAAGACATGTTGGTTACTGGTTACAAGAGGCACTGTGATAGGACCAGTCTCCTGGGAAAATCCTAACAAAAGTGTATCCAAATTTTGATGCTCAGCAATATATATACTACTACAGCCAGGTATTTCACATGTATATATTATCACAGATAGGTATTACACATGTATATACTATCACAGACAGGTATTACACATGTAATTACTACTACAGACAGGTATAACATATGTATTTACTATCACAGACGGGTATTACACATGTAATTACTACTACAGACAGTTATAACATGTATTTACTATCACAGACAGGTATTACACATGTATTTACTATCACAGACAGCTGATATAACACATGCAATTACTTAATACAGAGAGGTTCCTATATAATATACTGCTATTGTTGTTTTTGTGGGGAGGGGGTTGAATGGAAAATAGCTTTATTTATTTATTTTCTCATTATATAAACATCTGTTTTACCACATGATATCTTATATTTGAATGGCAATAAAGTGTGTATCTAGCATGTGTGAAATGTCTTTTTAGGTCACAAAATACAATTGTATCTCTACAAAATATATCTAGTGATAAATATCTCATAGACTTTAAAGAACATGCACCTGATGATGAAATATCACTTATTTGTATATATGTATTAACGAATGAAATATTATTTCTTGTCTGTGATAGTATAAGTAAATACAAGTTTATAACCAGTTTGAAACAATGAATCAATGTTCCTTTACATGACAATAATTATTGATAGAACATAGAATTACAAATACATAAGTATGTTCCTTAATGTCTGTGATAGTTAAAACAATTTTATCTGAAGCAATATAATTAAAGATCTATAGCCTGTCTGTGATAATAAATACAGGTGTATGACAAGTCTGAAACAGTAAATAAAAAAAATATGTTCCTATGTCTGTGATAAGCAGCCTGAAACAATTAATAAATGTTCCTAATATGTTTGTTATAGTTAATACAAGTTTATAAACAGTCTGAAACAATCAATAAATTCCATAACCTGTCTTTGAATTTGTAAGGGTAATACTAATAATGCAATTTTATCAAATTACTTTAAAACATTTAGACTAGGAAATCTGTGAAGAAAATCTAGATAAAACATTTTAATGACTAAATTGTAAGTATTACATGCAGTAGGGTCGTTTTCCTTCAGTTATGAAATGCATAGGAACATCCTTTTCTCTACCACTTACCACTATCTACTTTATAATGCTAAACCTTTAAAAATAATGTTAATACCGCTATAAACTCCTACTTTCACTTTCACATACTTCATTTCCGGTTAAGTAATACGAAACTGACCCTTCCGAATTAATGCTTTACCGTGCACAGCTCCCGTTTATAACATTCTTATAAACGTACGACGATTCGATTACATATCCGGTATGATATTTCACCAGTTCTTGTCCTCCGGAGCGAGAACCCTTACAGGATCCATTGTGTGAAATACCGACGTTTTAAAATGCCGAAGATATTGTGAGTTTATCCTTTTTGATTTACTTTGTAACCGTTCTTTGAGTCAGATTTCTCAGTATCGATTCAGCTAGTGCAAAATATGAACAAAGGAACGTTCATGGAGAATAAGACTACGTGTTCCGGAACTGTAAGTGTCGTCTGCTTCATCGTCGACAACCGCAATGTAAACTGTAGAGATATCACCACAAATCTTGTCTATAGAATTCATCCACCTGCAAGTTTGCAAGCCCTGTGTTGTAAACATAGTTACAAATGTACATGTACATGTACAAACCATGTTAATCAAGTAATGAGAAACTCGGCTGCACTAGCAAACTTTGAACAACTACATTACCAGTAACACTTTAGGCATTGCCTATAGTTTATACGGTGACCTACATTCTTGTGTGTTTATGTGTATTACAGTTACGCCCTTTACACATCAGAGGCATGCACGAATGCTTTCTGTGATCTCGATGGTATCATTAAGGCTACACATATTTTATGATCGAATAGGGCTGCACATTTATGGGGTCATTCTATTTTTCTAGATACACCGAGACCTTTAATTAGTAATCATTACACTATAAAATATACTTGTGTTTAGGAATAAATTGTTAAAATATGTATAAACAAGATCTTTTTTATCATAAATCATTTTTAATATATTTCTTTATTTCTGACGTAGCCTTACATTTTAGTATTAGGTTTTCATGTCTTAAAAATAACTTTTACTTGCCTCTTCGGTCGGTTTTTATTGGTGTACTCCATTACCTTCAGTGTTACTCTCAGTGCAGTATGTTTGTCCCGTTTACCTAAGACCTATGGTATATCCTTACATATTTAAATCACCTTAAAGAGTTGTTTTTTAAAACGACGCACTGTCCCATGATGACATAAATGCATTAAACATCATATTTTATTCTCTTAAAAGATTCTGTACATCTTTGATGTGCCCGTTGGCTTCAATAAGATTCATCAGTTTGGAAATATGTTATTTTAACGTTTTACTGTATACACGTGTCGCAGCGTTTCGTCACATCGATGAACAATACTTGCATTCAGTCTCGTGATTTTATTTTGATATAAATTGATTTAAATCGCCGGTGGAATTTGTAGTTCCAGTAATTCTGATAAGGTATCAGTAATCTTTGGATTTTGCTATGGTTCCTAGTGAAAAGATATTACAAGTAAAGCTATGCTACGTACGAAATATTAGTTGGCCTCGATATCCTTCAGCTGCTAACGTCCAATTAGCAGTCAATTAAGGTGATTTAGGGACGTCCCTACATGTGTTTTGTGTATGTGTGCATGCGTGTATGTGTACCGGAGGCAGTGTATATTGGTGGACTTGCCTGCTTGTGATAGCGCGGATCTGATGCCGACTTTATAGTGCTTTCTAACTAAAATATTATGTCGACGGCACCCAGCACAGCATTCCACCCGGTCATATTATACTGACAACGGGTGAACCAGTTATTGCCATTTCCCTAAATGCTGAAAGATAAGCAGGAAATGACAACTACAATTTTAAGGACTTGTTTATGTCTCGGCCTGGGGACTGAACCCATTGTCGTCCTCTCATGGATGAATGTTCAACGTTAAAGCCAAAAGTGAGGTATTGCCAAGCAAGGCGCTAGGAAATAAAGAGAAGCTAGAGGTTTAGAAAAAATTAAAGATCCTAAATATTGCATTTGGTGCAGCAGATTTATTTTGATCGCTTTTGTGTCCGCAAAAGAGGTCACAAACGCAAATCCCAAATAATGTAGGGGTTTTCCTCATTAGTCGCATGTAGTTGGTAACGGAAGGTGTATTCTTTTCTCCATCTCCGACCTAGTGCAGGGCAAAATGATCTAAAAATAATTGGAAATTTCTTTTCTCATAACCAGAAGAAAAGTTCCTGTGTTTGAATTAATAATAATAATGCGAGCTAAAATATGACATGGTAGTTAAGTTCCTTTTAATAATAAAATAAAAAGATCGATTAGATTATTTTATGTATTTAATTATCATAAACACAAATATAATAGAATACAACATTATTTTAACATTGATTAGAAAGGAGTGGGAAGAAGTAAACTCTTAAACATCATTCATTTAAGCATTGGCGATTACTATTTTCTTATTTATGTGTTTATTTGATTGTTAAACATATTTTAACTGTTAACTGTATGAATCATGTCAACAACCAAGAAGACTAAAATAGAAAATTGTTAGATTATTTAGAGAAAATGTATTAATTTTATTTCTGGAATTTTATGTTGAATGTAAAACTTAGAATTAAAAGTTGATGTAAAATCTCAAGAGATTACAATCTCATGGAAGCATGAAAATAGTAAAAATTGAAGATTTTACAAAGGTGTACTTATATAACCTAGAAAAACATGTAGGTTAATCATGTAAACATTGCACAAACCAAGGTGAGTGATACAACAGTACAACAGGCCGTAACATCACACGAGTAATGTTTAACGTAGTTGTAAATCTTAGGAAAGCATATACAGAAAGTCACAATGAACCCAGCATACAGAAAGTCACAAGGAAACCAGGTGTAAGGTAACTTACATCGGTCAGTAGGTCACAGATCACACATTGGTACAAAGGCTTAACTATCACCATGGTAATATGTAAGGTAGGTTTAAACCCCCAGGAAAGCATGTGTAATAACACAATACAGCTAAATGTAAGATAACCCACATCGACCAGGAGGTCATGAAAATAGTCGCTCTATTGTAAGTGTTAGCATGCTCTTGTATAAAAACATTTTATTTATGGTTGAATCACGGTATGTATTACAACTTACAGCGAATGAGTTAAATAGTCTGTACCCACGTTACTGACGACTAAGGAAGATTAAGCAGGAATTAAACAGGTTGAAATACTGCTATTAACCATGATTCATTCACCGTTTCGATGATCGTTGTTATCTATATGAAATACTTATAAATGTCATATGGGGTATTTGGAAGGCTTGTTCTTTTATTCATTTATTATTTATGAAAGGGAGGTGATCCGGAAATGTCTTCTCTATTATTTCTTTTATATGGCCGTATGTTTTCGACTTTCTGTTGGATTTATATTCATGTTCATTGAGTAAGTGGTATGTTTTGTTCTTGTGGGTTAATATGGTGCATAATATATTTTAGGCTGAAGCAGAATTTATCAGTGTATGCCAGAAATGTGATAAATTATGTGATAGAGTTGTGTTTAACGATCAATCTTGAGTATATGCTATGACCTGTTTCAGGCGTTAGCGTAACAATGGTTCATTACACCTTGACACACGCGTCACCAGGGAGATGTGAGTTTGATATCGCCAGCCCAGCGTCTGCTTACCGCGATCGTACGGGTACGTACCTTTGGGCTTATGTATACAAATTAAACCGATGAGGACAAAATAATACCACATTTTCAACTAAAGAGGCATAATACAATAAGAAGATTAGTGAATCATTTGTGTCAAGTAAACAAAAGGACATGGAAGAATTTGGTGTCATTTAAGAGATAGGACAGACTACAGACATAGGACATATCATGTAAGCAATAGGGTAGAGTGAGCAAATGCTTTTGTTACGCGAAAGGAAAAACAAAGTGACGTTTCGTAAACACTATGTCAAAACAAAAGTTTAACCTCATCGTTGTAGATGATAATTACCATTTATCACATAATGTACTGTGCTATCCAGTTAAAATACCCATGCCATTTAGTTTTGCGTATTAACATATGTAATATGATCTATCAGCCCTTTGATTGGTTGTAAGTTTCATTTTTTTCAATTGTGACGACACGCCATAGACAAGTACATGACGTCACAGACTTACGTAGTGGAGTCAAAATAGCTGCTTTTTACATTTCATGGTTGGACGAAAATTGTCGTTTTTTACAAATAAATGTCACAAATCTTGATTTTGTGAAAAAAAGGATCTTACACTCGTTTTCATTTTATATGAAATTTTGGAACCTTGTCACGAACTTTTTCATTTTAGCGAGCCTCAATTTGAAAAATTCTTAGACTCGTTTCATAAATCTCATATGAAATGGAAACTCACTTAAAATCCTATATATATAGGCGATGGCTCGTTAAATGTGTTCATCCTGAAAATACTTATACCATTTGGCTATATTGATTATAGAAAATATCCTACTTATTATAGTAGTAATTAAAATTTGCTGGTATGTTAAAAGTACATTTTGTTGTCCCTGCAGGTCACCTGTCAATTTGGGGAGTCAGTAAAATCCTTCAGGACGCAGGCACAATATGCGGCCTTCATGATTTTATACCGTTATCACAGAATTTGGTCAGAGACAATATTCGGCTCTTTCTCATCAGCGAAAAATGTGTGATGTCTCCAACATTTCATACTAAGTTCTCATGGGCTGAGAAACTACAAAAATATCACGTGACTTACACCGTGTCGTCTGTAACACCTGCCACCCTAGGTAACAGACAGGTATTGTCTGACCCAGACACGGGAAGCTGGTATTTGAAATCAGAAAACAAACTTGTTGCTGTAAATTGGGAGACTCGGCGGTCTGTAAAGTTACCGAAATCGTATTATGAGAGTTCAAGTAAGCTTGTTGACCATGAACAAGCGTCAATGATGACCAGAAAACAAGATGCTCTCATCCCTCCTGTTACATCTTTCAGAACAACTACCCAAACGCGTTACAGTGACCTAGATTTTAACTACCACCTGAACGCCGCGGAGTACTACCGGTTCTGTTCCGATGCTGCATCCGAAGCTTCTCTCTCCGGATACTACCGGCATTTTACGTCCGACATCGTCAAATACCCACTGATGCAGACTGAAGTGACGTTCCTGGGCGAGTGTGGACCAGGAGAAAAACTCACCGTCTATACTTGGCAGGACGAAAACGACGTTACCAAGTTGTACTTTGCAATTTATTTGAAGGAGGTCAGAATATTCCAGGCTTGTTTTATTTTCGATCGTAATTTGTCAAAGAATAGAGTCATGGCAAGTCTATGAAAACTGGTCCAGATATTTAAATTTCAATCAGTTTCTTACAGCATGTTACATGTAGAATAAAATGCTCAGTTTTGTTCCGATGCTTTGTATTTCTGGTGATTAAACCTTGATGCGTGTGACTGCACGTAGGCTGAAACATATGCCATACTGGCTCTGTCTGCTGAAAGACAGAAAGTTCCAACAAGATGAATGTAAATATTTTGCAACCAGTATTCATGAAATTAAAGCTTTTTTCAATTTTGCATTAGGCTAATAATTGAAAAGTAATATTTTCAGAGTGCAAATATAGTAATGAACAAATAGGATTTTTTAAAATGAAAATAAGCTTATAGTAGCATGGTATATGTATTAAACATGTATTTTGTAAAATCATAATAAAAAGTGAACAAACAAATTTACTTCGTAATGACATTTTATTTGATTCCGTAAAGAACTGACTCACATAGAGACGTGTTTGTACATGACGCTCCCATTGCTTGACTTACCATGCACGTGTCTGACGGCCAACAGTAGGAATCCCTACGTCAATATATAAAACTGATCTACCAAGTACGTATTTAACGTTAATGTGTATAGGCTGTTAAAATCTGAAATGATATTTCAACAGACGGATAATTTTTCATGTACGTTTGAGTTTTTCTCCTTTAGAAGCTATGATAATGAGCAAAACATTTTTTTTTCATATGGTTTCTGTAAAGGGTGTTTGGGCGCTGTAGTGGATAACGCCTTCGCCTTTCACCAAAGCGGCCGGGGTTCGATTCCCCGATCGGACGTGAAAATGTGTGTTTTCTTCTGGCACTCCGGTTTCCTCTCACATAAAGATTTCATTCACGCTAACATTCTGGCTTACAAGAGTGATAAGTTAAAGTCAATATAACTTGTTTCATATTTTTTGTTAAATGAATTAAGTTTATGATAGTTATTCTTTCAATTTTACAGTCCATTTTATTAGTTACATAAGCTCGAGTCGCATTACTTATGGGAATTAATTGTTAAGTATCCGCAGTATCCAAATCTATACACTGAATTTAAAGAGTAGGTGTAATGTTTCGTATGTCGAAACTAATGGAATGGTGTCATTTCTGTGGAAATTTACACATTGATTCGTTAAGCTTAATATTTTACACTGTGACAAATATGCAAAAGTAAGAGACAAATGATAGTGCTATATAGCACTCGATGTCAATTACAATATAGCTCTTCTTATTCATATAAAATATTTATGTACATTAATTTTTCGATAGATGTGTACTTTTCAAATGTCATTTATAAACGTTGATTGTTTTTTATATATACCTATCACGTGTGTGCAATCTTCTTTATACAGAAAATAAAAGAAACAATAATTGTCAATCGTTGTAATCGTAAACATTAGAAAAACTATAATAAATACACTTGTAATACAAATAGTATATATATTTAATAATATCATTTATGACATCAGTATTACATTCCAGGGTATATAAAATTACATACATATGCAAATAAATACAAACATCACTGTGTTTGCATGAACCTTTGAGAACATAACATTAAAATATTTAGATTCCAACCATTTTCCGATAGGAGTTTGAACATTCAAGATTAGACAAGTCTTACTGGGCATTGTATAATTTTGAAAGCAGAGTAAACAATTCTGATTGCACATTCAAGACGGAACCATTGGATCCTACAGTGTTTGATTCAGACAAGTTTCAAAAAAATATACATATATAAAAATGAAAATAATATATATCTGAAATATCAAAAAATACCATAATCTCTCTCTGCGAAATACAGATTATCTTTCTAACTATATGATTTAACTTCCATTATGCCAATGTTCAAAAGTGTCCTTTGATGGCGATAACGGAAAAGTAAAACTGAAATATTTCAAATATGAGTAGTGAATAAAATACAAACAAGTAAAACAAAAACGAAAACACTTCTACTCCTACATGTAAAAGAAGACACTACAGTTCAAATGACAAGCAGCTGCATTTTAGCTGGAACTGTCTGTCCTCTTAAATAGAGGTTTATCAGTGCTATATATTAGCAAGTAGAACACAGTATCATATTTCACATATAATTACAACAGATGTTGAAATATTATTATGCATAACATCATCTAATATTGACAACGGCATTTTAATTACCTACAGCTTACCTGTTTATATTTTCTGATAATACGTTGTTGTCACAGAGCAAGGCTGACCTGGCTTTATACACGAAAAGTTATAATGTTTACTCGAGTCAACTATGACTCGGCCAACACTGCCTTTATCATAGCACAACTTATATCTGTAATATATATGTGTGTGGATGTTTGCTAATATTATTTTCATACTTGTTGATGTTAAATAAAGCTTCACCTCTTTATCAATTTATAACACTATTTACAAGAGCATGGCAGTGCAACTATGGAACAATAACAAACGTATTGAGCAGCCATAGGACTATGAACACCTTGGCATAGTTATACGAAAACAAAACTGCTATAAAATAATTGACTAAATATGTAACAAGTGGAATTGTTTGCCTATCTATAACAAATGGTTTTTTTTTATTGTTACCATGAAACAGTTCTCAGATGGCATTCATTAACTTAACATATTTTGAACTATCAAAACAATTGCGTTAAAGCCTAAATCCACTACAATGTTTTCAGGTATCACGCAAATTTATAATTGAGCCGTATTCACTCATACGGGTTATGCAAGTAGAGACCACATTGGCAATCGGATTTCCAATTCGTCAATTAAAATTAAGGAATATTAATTTTACAGTAAAATAGTTTCCAGACAAATTTTTGACTTTCAAGCAATAGCGTACGTTCTTGATATTTTGAATATAAAATTATTAAATACATGTTATATGCAAACAACGTTATTGCTGTAATCGCATTTACGTATTGACTGTGCGAGAGCAACATACTGTTAATGTATGTGTCACACATGGTCGTTATCAATTAACGATAAAACGTGTCATGTTTGGTTCTTTATTCCGCACTTGTAAGAAAAACCTGTAAACATACAACCACACTCCTATACCCTGAACAATAAAACAGACTATAACGCGGACAATATACATGGAAACCGAAAGTAGAACACGCACTCGCACACTCTGCTTACCAGACTATCCGGTGTTCCCTTCTATTACTCTCTGATCTCTGTAAGGAGGTGTAAGAATCTCATCTAGAGTTATAATAGCTCAATAGGGGATGTGTCGCCCTCGCGAGCCAGACACATACTGAATCACATATCGGGGTTTTCAGCTTAACAGAACGTTAGTAAGGAAGGACAGGCGGGAAATTGAAGCGTGCAATATGTGTTTCCGGTCAATCAAGCTATTTATGTAATTTGTCGGATTGCGTACTGTCCAAAGTCCAGGTCAGTGTCAGATATTTACATAACATAACAATACATGACAATGTTGACTGTACAACACAGTACGTAAGTAGGCTACGTGCATATACGTGTATATATATTATATGTACAAAGTACATTGGGTTACATGTCCATAAAAATGGGTTTTTTGTAAACAAAATCCACACGAACGGTTATTACACTTGTTACTAAATTAATAAGTTAATCAAACTAACTGTATAATTAGCAGAAAAGATTTAACTTGTTGGATTAAATGATTTCCTGAGTCCATTTAAAGTGCAAGACTATTTTTTAAATAATTATTATTCTTAACATTGTTTTGTAAATAGGATTACCTTGATTGTAATGAACAAAATTCAAACCTTCTTTGATACTTATGAAAACATATAACATTTGATGTCTTTGAAATTTTCTTTTTTTAAAATCATCGGGAATAAATTTTAAACATATATATAACGTAGAACAATTACGACTCTTCGGCACTCACAAATGCGTGTTTTATTCAATGCGCATGTGTGAGCGTCACATCTGATCGTAGTGATTTTTGTCGACTGATGGGTTGATTTTGCGTTTAGATGCGAGATCATACAAATTTTCGTCCTGGTTTTCTCGGACATGTGTTGTGTGGTCGTACATATCATCAACGTCATCGACTACTTTGGCCTTGTCATTACATGTATCGTAAATGTTATTGGTAGACACATCGCCTGTATGTGCCTCCTGACCTTTGTGCATGTGTTTGGTGTGATCATACATGTCATTGCTGATTTCCTCATTACTTTCGACCTTTCCAGTAAAGGCATCGTACATTGTATTGTTTACGTCTCCATTTTTGTCGAGAACACTCTGTGTATGATCATATGTATCTTCTACACCGTCCTTGACCTTCCTATTAAACACGTCATAGCCACCGTCGGCTTTTGTGCCGTTTTTTTGGCTAAAACTAGCCGTATAGTCATATGCGGAGTCATTTCCTGGGACCTTGACTTTGGATTGCATGACATCATAAGCTTCGTCGTCTGGTTGCTTAGGAACAACGTCTGTTGCATCAGTTTCCGTGTCGGGCAGTGGTAGCATGGTATGAGCATAAATATGATCCTCGTCATCCTCCATAATACATAACTCCATGGCATCATAATCTCCTTCCTCGGAACCAGCTGGATCGGTTGCCGCGTACGCGTAAGCATCATTTACGTGTCCTTTTTCAGTTCCTATTTCGTTAACAATGTCGTAGTTGTATGAGACAGACGGCAATTGTTTGGCTCCCGCTTCTCCAGGTGACGATGTTCTAGCAGCCATTTTGGATTCGCTTTCCGATTCGTCCGATGAAGTGTCGGATTTGATACTATTCATAGCATTTTGAGCGTTTATAACACTTCCTTTAAATTGCACGGGTTTCTCTTTCGTCTTCTTCTTTCTTTGTTTTTTCTTCTTAGCAGATCTGAAAAGAAAACAAAATATGCAGTTGATATTGATAATAACCACACTGGGATAAGGCTAATGAAAATATAACCCTGCTACATGTTTCAAGTGGGTTAAAGACCAAAACACTTCAGAGAGATAAGACTTAAATACCATACCGTTTAGATAGTCTGTCTACAACGACAGCCGTGACCGCTACCAGTGCGATACACCCAACGGTGATTCCTGCGGCAACTAAAACAAAATACATATTACTAGTCAGAGATCGAATTTTTCGATGTAAGTATACTCGACCCTTTGACAATATTTTACTGAGCTCTTACAATGTGCAGTAAATATATGGTGATGATACTATTATACGAAATCCTTTTATATCACACATTGTCTATTTTCTTGCAATTTTGGATGGGTCCTTTAAGATTTATTTCAGAAAGTATATTTTGAAAACAAATAAGAGGATAGAGTTATGCGATGAAAACGGGAAATTCAAATATGAAAATAATTCAAATGTGATCGGAAATCATTGCCAACTCACGTCCAATAACTTTTGAGTCCTCTCGTGAGCTGGAACGCGGTCTAGGAAGTGTGACACGTTCTTTTCCACTGGAAGTAGTGGCAGTTGTTGGGGTCGTGGTCGGCACTGTATTACCCACTGTCATTACAGCTAAACATAAGGTAAAATGGTTGGTTTACTAAAACAACTCAAGATGACAGGAAAATAGGAAGAGATCGTTTGATTTTCAAAGTTACAAACATAAATAATTTTTTTATGAGAATTTCAACTAAAAAAAATTGCTCGATTGTTAATTAACCTCTTTTAAGTGAGATGAAATAACATGTTCGGTATGTAATTTATTTTCTTGATATTTATACTCCCACCTAGTGGGTTTATATAACCCAAATAATGTTATGATTTAATATTTATATTTCCAATTAAAAAAAAAGTGTTTAACACTTTGAACCTTATAATTCTCTAAGTTATCTCAACTTGTGAAAACTCAATAGCATATATATATCTACGTTCTTAAACATTTCTACTGCAGATTTAGTTACACCAACAGCATCCATTTGCTAAACAAAAGAGATCTTTGACGTTAATAGAACCCGGATGTAATTGCACTTAACACCCATATTAAGTGTGAATTGCACCTAGAAGCATAGCAACAACTGATAACCAACCGTCACTTGGTGATGGAATTCCGTTTCCACTCGGAGTATTGTCCGTGGTGAGGATTGGTCCTGTTGTAGTTTCGTCAGCGACCATTTCTGTACAAAGATCAAGGGTTGTACATACCTAACGTATGATAGCACGGCTGAATGCAATATACTGATTAAATGATTAGTAATATGCATGTATTTAGTTCAAACATTCAGGAATAATCCTATTTATAAACAAGAGGCCCAATGGCCTTAGCGGTCACTTGAGTTATATTAAAGGTACTTGTAGCTCAATTGCATTGTTGAGATGTAATGTGGAAATCAAAATGTAAACATAGTGAAATACAACACTTGCCGTGTGACCAAAGGATAAGAACTTGCAAAAAACTATTCAAATAAATTATTTTGCTATTGAGAAATATAATATCTATTGTTATTTAGCCAATTTTCCTCTTTGGTCGACCCCTGGGATAGGTCAGGATCTTACTTTCTAAATACTTTTTGATTTTAATTTCATTATAACTATTTCAAACAAGTTTGAATAATTTCCTGTTGAAAATGAACAAAAAGTGTTATTTCCCTATATAAATTATAGCCAAATTTACCCCCTCCCCAAGGGAGAACGGATGACCTAGGGGTACTAAAATTTCCAATTTGATTAAAGTCCCTGATGATCTTTCCATCCATGCAGATAAATTGACTGTAGTACCTCTGAGTCTGGAGAAAACGATTTTTGAAATTTTAATTAATTTTCACTTTGGGGCCCCGCCCTGGCCCCTGGGGATGGGGAAGGACTCCCAATTTTACAGTTCAACACCATCTTCTTCCAGGGATGATTATCACCAATTAGGAATAATTTCCTACCCAAAATTGACAAAATATACCCAAATGTGTTATTTCCCTATTTAAACTATAGTAAACTTTACCCCCTCCCCAAGGGAGAGCGAATGGCCCGGGGGTACTGAAATTTACAATTAAAAAAGCCCTCGATGATCCTTCCCTCCATGTACAGAGATTGACTGTAATTCCTCTGAGTCTGTTGAAGAAGATTTTTTTAAATATCGGTTATTTTTCCCTTTTGGGCCCCGCCTTGGACCCTGGGGATTGGGCAGGAATCCCAATTTTACAATTTTGTAGCCTCATTTACCAAGGACGATTCTGATTAAGTTTGAAAACATTCCATCTCATGGTTCTTGAAAAGAAGTCGAAAATGTAAAATGTTTACGCACGACGTACGACGGACGTTGCACGACGAACGACGCACGACGACGGACGGAAAGCGATCAGAATAGGGAAATTATTTGCAATATTATCAGTTTAGCCTTTTTGTAGACTATCTGAAAACTATCTTTGACATCTTCGTTTTTGCATATCTATTTTAATTTTCTATTAGCCGAACAGCAGTATAGATTTTTAGAGTGTCAATTTATTGCAAAATAATATACTTGCAATTAAGGAGTGTTGTTCTTTAAGATTTCTGCCAATCAGGATTCTTATTTTAATTTCCCCCACCTTCTTAACTTTCATCTTTTTGACTTAAAATATTCTTGATATCATATCGTGATTCTTGATGTGGATATATCTTTCCCATCTACTGTGACGCAAAAATCTACTTTCCCTCCCTTTTTAAGGTAATAAGGATATAGTGATGCTTCTATCAAAACGTGATGTAAACATGCTTACCTTTCTGGCAGATATACTGTCGCTGTTCAGTACAGTCCGACCTGACAAGTGTGTCACGCTCCAATGCATAGCACTGTACAAACTTACTTCCATTCAAATTACGATCTAGGAAGGAAATACACGTATGCAAACAGGCATGCTGTCAAGTACCAGTCTAAAAACTTCCCTAAATCGCCACCGCGCACTGCGGTATGCATCTGTTCGTGTGAATTATGAACCAGACACAAACATTAAAACACTGTAAACCCCTTATTTTTTCTGAACATTTTTTTCAAGAATGTGCTGCAAATGGTGTATTAGAATATTGAATTAATAGACAAAAGACCAAATGTATTAGCGAGCTTTCGAAAGAACAATTATTCACAATGTCTCCTTTATAACTCTGGCTGACAAAATATTCTGTTTTTTGTGTGTTTTCTTTTGTGTTTATATAAGTATTTAGGCTATAAAATGTTGGGTCAACATGCCTTATATAATCTGATAAGCATATCAGGGGTGATGAGGGAAAAGAAACCTTCGGTATTTTATTTGTTCAAACATAAATCACTATCTTAACTATTTGACTTTAGTGACAAAAAAAATAAATGAACTCTGCGAACTGACGTTTTTGGGAGGTGCATTAAACGAAGTTGGCGGATTTTTCTATTTTCAGGCTATGTCTTGTTTTCCCATTTAAATGGTGTTAAAATGGAACTAGTATGGATGGTTGACTTCATAAGCTCAACAGGTTAACACGTTAAAATATAAAAGTTAAAACAAAGTATTTTATTTTCCTTAAAAAACGTTGTTTTACCTATATCATCAACGTCAACTCTTTGTCTGATGTAGCCACTCCATATCGAAGCGTTCGTTTGATTAGTCTGCAGCAATTTCATTTTGGTTATGTTGTCAGTCGGTGGTATATATCCCTCACTGCACAGTGTATTGACGGCGTAACTCCATGCTCCTGTGTGTGTGAATACCTCAATACTGTCTTTCTGTTCGGTTTCGTTATCTGTAGATAAAAAATATCCAATCATGTGAGATTACATACGTTTTCCCTACATCCTAATTGGTTGGGTCACAGTCACGTGGAGGTCGGTGATATGTGTTATTAACTCGGTGTTACTATTTTTAGAAACAACAGGTCAATATTCGCTATTCGCATTATGACGTTATTTCATTGCGACGTAAGAATGCTCTGTGCCAAATGTAGCACATTAATCCTGATAATTTTCATACGTTCCGTGTTGCTTAATGTTTTAAACATTGTTTAGTTTCAAATATCACCATTGAATACTTTTATTTAGGTGAATATGAGGTTATACGGTCCTGAAAAATTCAAATCAACCTCAACTTCGTCCTAATATATATCACTTTCTCAGGTCTATATAACCACATATTCACCTCGACAAAAGTCCATAATTGGTCAATATTTCTTCTCTTTGAGCACAGCAATATCAATTTTAGAGAACGGTATTACTCTCTGTAATTAATTAAAGTATTTCACTTATGTCACATCGAGTGACGTAGAAATAAATATACACTAGCGTCAACAAGATGATCGGATAAAAAAAAGAACAAAAGGATTCACACTGATAAGATAAGAACAGTGCACCCGAGCGACAGACCATTACTTTCTACAATAGATCTTGAAGATGGGGGAGTGATTTCTCTAACAATACAAATCAATATATACAAATATGTAAGCAACCTTTAACATTAATTCCTTCAATAACATTCTTATTTGCAATAGTTAACATTACGAATGGTCTGGTTTTCCTTGGTTATAATTTGCTAATATCTGGTCTCAGGTTCGCCGATATTATAGTATATCGACCTCATTTTTCTATTTTTTCTAGCACGTGACCGTATCGACTTCTTTTTTAGATATTTCGTTCAGAAACCCTTACCTTGGTTCTCATCATTTCAATATCTGATATCTCATTTTATCGGAAGTTGTCATATGTAATATAAAAAAAAATCAGGAACTTTTGTGAGATAGTGCCAGGTCCATATAAGAACGTATCGACCTCGACAAAAGTTCATAATTGATAAATGTGATATAGTACATGTCCATAGGTGATGTACAGTTTTTAGACGTGTTGTTTGTACTCACAAGTTGTGCAAGCTGTTAAATTGACTTTGGAATCACAAGGTACTGACTGCAGATTCACCGTCTGTGAACTTGAATCGACTTTGAAAACCCGACACAGGTCTTCTTCAGAACCTGGCAAACGAAGCAAAGAATTCAACAATGTATCTTAATACTGTATACCGGGAACTTGTCGCTGCTGATTAATTTTTGCTTATTTCGCACGCGGTAATATGGGCGAATGTATCATTACAGCAAGCAATTATAAACAACGTAGTGTGCATAGTAATTTATTGTGAAGACGAAATTAACACAGGGCGTATGTGGATTATTCTGAGGAAAGCCGAAAGTTTGGTGGGGCGAAAATTTCCCAGTATTCAGTTTATCAGTTTATCAAATAAACACATTTATATCAGGTTTAATAGTCAGGAGTATTAAAAGCAAAATCAATTTATCTTAATCACATTTCGTAACCGCGCCATTTATTTCATGTTTTTGTAAAAAACAACACAAGTATACTGAATCACATGTTAGTGGGGTTAGTATAGGTATGGTACAATTTAGTGAACTGAGTGCTGACTATATATTATATATATATATATATATATATATATATATATAAGTTAATACATTGTATACATTAACAATACATGTCCAACGATTACAATTTTCTGCATATTGTAAAAGGAATATTGCAGTTGCCAAGTCAGTAATAAGGCAAAAAGTGTTTGTTTCAGGCAGCATGCACATGTTTATGATTGGCTGTGAACTCGGCCTGGCTTATAAATTAACCCTAGATACAAATAGGTGATGAAATATCTAGCAGTAGTGGAACCTAGGGTAGGTTGGGAAACATGAAACACACATATTTGTTTTGACCTAAGCGATTAGATGATATAATATCCCATTTAGAAACATCGTTTTCCGAAAGCAGAGCTAGGAGCTCGTCCCACCCCATACACGTCCCACCCCATAAGTTCTCTAGGTAGGCATCGATTTAACTGAAGTCATTTTTGCCTTGTTCCTCCATCAGAAGTCGAACCTGAACGTCGGATAAATATTCCTGTGTATAAATAATTTCGTTTAAGGGTAACTTTCTTTATCTGTACCTATGCCACTTGTTAAGGTGGCGGAGGTGCGTGTGTGCATGGGTGAAATCGACACCCATGCACACATAATCGACAATATTAACAAGGCTGCAGACCTGACTAAATTATATTCATTTGATTACCGTAACAGAGACGACACTCGAGTGACAGTCGTTCAAAACACATGGTACATGTACCAAAGGCAAAGATCAACAAAGAAACAGAGTTTTATAAAGTTGCGGATTTTGAAATGTAAGGGATTGGAGCACTGATACTTTCTCCGACAACACAACTCTTAGAGAGAACAGCTTAAATTAGATTTTTATTCTCTTCTACTGCACTCTTCAGCTTCTAATGGTTCAGGAATTATAGCACTGCTCATCAGTGAGCAGGAACGGGGTCAGGGGGAGTCGGTTTTCGTGTGCATGGCTTCGTACTCTGTCAGCGAAATATCACAGTTTGGATGGCCCGTCGGAAGGGATGAAGCTTTTGTGTATATTAACTACCACCAGAAAACTCCACCACGGATATAGATGCTGGTAGCTATTGTCAATAATCTCATCCGTCAACCGTATTGTTACCGGACACTTCACCTTTTTTATATGTGAAATATTTAGTGGTCGATGTGGCGATCTTGGCAATATTGCCTCAGCTATTGATACTATTTTTAAACGCAACCCTGTGGATTTTCAAATATATTTTTGATTGAATCAGACTATCGTATACTGAATGGTCGTAGCTATGTAAAGAATGGCGTTTGTTTCTCCTTTGGGACACTCTTTGGTGGTCTACTGTTAAATGACTAATTTATATAAAAAAAATACGGATTTACTATCACGCGAGCAAGTGAAGTTGTAAACGCATTGTTGGATGATGACATCTATTGATAGCACAGCACGCATACCGGATCTCCATTCTTACTCATCAGCTCCATGTACACGAGTGAAGCGTTTGCAGTGAACCGAGTCGACACAGCCCCATCGACTATGTCAGGTGATCGTGATCAGCCCAGGGGTAGGCAGAGATAAATATGACTTTATGTGAGACATGAATCGTGAACTGGTCATTCATTGGCACCAATTAAAACAATACATCATTAACTAAGTCCAGTGTTATGCAGTGATGGAGAAAATATTCTTAATCTAGTTACCGATCATATGCCAAGCTCAGTCGCTGAAACATATAATGATCTATGTAATTGTTAAATTCTACATGCGGAAGTATCCATAGCCACAAAGGCTAAAAAGGTTGGAAATATATGGAAGATCTCAAAAATGAGGAGTCGTTTTACATCACGTGTAATTTACTCAATTGGTGTTTTAAAACGACCGTAATTCCAGATAATTGAAAGAAAAGTATATCTCTCATGCGCAAAAAAACCATCGACAGCTGATCTTCGTGACCCCTTAGGGTACAGGGGTATATAACACTAGCATCATCAGTGTATAAAGTATTTTTCACTGCTTGAAACAACTTCCTTACGGCATTGGTTACTGTTGAGGACAACGATATTCATGTACATGTCACATTATTTATGTGATGACGTAAAGGGAGATCACCTATATCGATTACGTATCGTCATTGACGTCAATTATCGAAAATGTTATAAACGTTCAGGTTCAGCTTTTACTGATTTTAAGAAGACTTTTTTACAGTGCTGATAGACAATTATTATATCAGATATGGGTATCTCAGGCCGTACGTTTAACAATATATGCATATAGCTTATATTTGTATTACCAGATACCTTAACTGAAACACCTCATCATATCATTCAGTTTTTGAAAATAATTGACAACGGTTTTTTTAATTTTCTTCATTTCAAGAACGTTTTGACATTTTATGATAAAATTCAGCAAGTTGTTCGTTCAAATATTTATTTGAAAAGAAATGTTCTGTATTGAGAAATTTAATAGGTAATTGTAGTCCATTTCCCGGAAATTGTTTTCATCTCCTGAATTTTTCAATTAAATTGGTTAGCAAAATACAAGAGGAATGCAGCCAAACTTGCCCCAGTTGCTAAAACTATTTAAAGTTTGATAGAGATTAAATATCCTTCATTTGTATTGGGAAACAAATCTACATCATACATATGAAAAGGGTTAGTGTTGTTCAATTTTGGGTTCCCTTACATAAGGTATTATAAGCTAGGCGTCTTGCAAATATCATGAATATTACCTAACATTAGCTCCCTCAGCAACTCTACCACCGCCTTATCTAGAAAAACAACACACTTACTGAAAGCTAAGCAACAGGAAAGATTTAATACTCACAATTTTCTGCACTATCTGAAAAAAAATTACAACGTGTAATTAATTGTTCAAAAATACCGATATACACCTACCTTTTGGTACACATGTGTAAGATATGTTTAGGAGTTTGGTTGTCCAAGAACAGGGATCGCTTCCAAAAAAACGGTTTGATGGCGTAACTGTGCAAGTTTGTTTCCTGTTACAGAGCTGCCGCATTATTGCAGTGGAGTTAGCGTGCCTGCAGTTTTTTTTCGGAGGAAAAATCTTATTTGTATCACAATTTTCTGTCTCTTTTGTGAAACCATAATTTGCATCTTTAATGCGGATAACGGTATGAGTGGGACAAGTGACGTTTCCGGGCTTGTTTTCACATATGATTTGTTGTTTGTCGTGTCGTTCAAAACCTATAGATAAAAACAAAACATTACACATTTTACCCACAGAGTTGGGAAACAAAGAATCGTGTTTCCCTACCGCAATTACAATACATATTTTATTATACCGTAAACAAGTTTACACAGTCGTGAACATGGTCAGACTTCCGCTATTACGTCACTTGTTTGTGAGAGTAACGTCATCATTTTTTGAGAAAACGACATAATTTTTTCACACAAACCAATGACGTAACAATCAATACCTGCTGCCAAGAGAAGATAACTCTGCAATACGCAAAGACGGAATACTGTCGTCTTCTTTAGCCCCTCGGAACTCCAGTTTGTAACATCTTGCTCGTTTTTCCTAGATACGCTTTACATAATGACAATTATGTCAGGGGAAACTCGAGCTCGTGAGGAGAACACGAAGACTTATTTCCCCGTGATCAATATAAAATCAGACACGCCGTTACAATATAAAGATGAGGTATACTAATACGCGTTTGCGATAGTTACTAAATATGGTGCAAAAACAGCACCATTTACTACTTACCACGTAATGGGGGTACTAACATCATTTTTTTTTAAAAAGAATATCATCCAATTTGGCGTGTGTCGGAATATTTGATAGATGTATGACCTTTACCAAAGATCATCATATTATTGTACATTATCTTTATAATGCTAAAAATGAATATTGACTAAAGAAATCATTATGCTAGAGTGAGTTAAGCGATACACAAAACATATATTCAAGAAAACATTAATTAGGAATGCTGTCCACATTATTACGGTGCGAACAAGTAAATACGAAGGGGGGGGGGGGGGGGGGGGAGGGGAATGACCTATTCTGCAACATCTTCGAATCCTGAGTTATTGATTCTACCATAATAATTTATTTAAACATACGTTGATATTATCTTTCCTACCATTTAAAAGTGTGATGTACTTACCTAAGATTCTATAGAGCGACACCACGTGTTCTTGTTTTCCTCCGCACTTGGTCCCGCTCTCCTGCCCCTCCCCACACGTTACGTTACACTTGGAGTCGAGCGTCCTATTCAGTAGTGTAACTGCAGAGATGTCTAGACACCTGCACACCGGATCCTAGTGGGAGTAAGCAGAGATGTTGAGACACATGCACATCGGATTCTAGCGGGAGTAAGCAGAGATGTTTAGACACCTGCACATCGGATTCTAGCGGGAGTAAGCAGAGATGTTAAGACACCTGCACATCGGATCCTTGTGGGAGTAAGCAGAGATGTTAAGACACATGCACACCGGATCCCAGTGGGACTTTTAGTGGACTCACTATCCTGAATATTTATATCCATAATCTATATCGTATGAGATTGTTATTTTCCCTTCGACAACTTATCTTCTTTCCTGTAGATACGGTTGTTGAATTATCTTTAATTTTCGAAACGATATGGTAAGAAAATAAAATAAAATTATAGATATTTTAGTGTTGTTTTCGTATAAATGATAGTTGGGAGTTCCTATTATTTAGCCTAATTAATTATTATTTATGACTATATAATAAATAAACCATTTCCTTAATATGTCGTTGTTAAGTTAATCAATGAACGCATTATCCCCAATATTCTACGGTAGGTGGCGTTAACTACCTCAAAAGGCGGAACTAGCAACATTATTTGATAAACAGTTTTATCATTTTAATTGTGTGTATACTACTCATTTTTCAATAACTATTTTTTGATATTTTACGGTTATCATTACGACATTTTGTGATACTGTATAAGATATATATATAAATTGTTTACGTGTTTCTTTGCATTGAATGATTGAATGAATATAAAGCCATATTTCAATTCACAAGAGCTCAACTGAATTTATCCCCTCATAACCTGACCAAAATAGAAAACTAGTCCTTTTATTTACAGTACATTTCTGTTAATGTATCCTAAATTTCTTATTCAAAAGTCAGTTTAAAGGACACAGTTCACTTTCAAACTTAATAACTTGAAGTCGGTTCTAGAAAATTAACAGCCTGAATCCTGCATAAGTCTTGGTTAACCTATCCTTTATACTCAAGGGGTTACGCTCACTTTCGCACTCGCCATTCCTGGAATATGTCATAGAAAAATTGAAGGCACAAAGACAGCTGTTTGATTGGTTTAAGGTAAGAGAACCTGACCAATCGCTAGGCTGATACCTGTCCTTTGAAGATGACAAAGGAGCGACACCCGACAACAAAGCCTGTCAATTTTACCGTTACGCGACCGCAAGAGTCTTTTGATGTACATCAAAGGATCGAACTAGTCTTCTTGTCTCATCAACAAGGTGGCGCACACTATGCCTTCCACTTTGCTATGACATATTCCAGGGGTTCAGAGAGCGAAAGTGAGCGTAGACCCTGGATATCGGGGATGTGGTTTACCCCGCCACATCTCCTGTTGATTACGTCACAAAATTGTGTTTTGTTCGCGGAAATTTGCATATATCCGGCCACTTGTATTGCTGTCAACGTCATAAACACTTGTCACGGTCTATGGGCAGGATATGAAATGAGGTTAGCTCTGTTTTCGGGAACAATGAGTATCGAGTGAATGTCAGTGTAGAATATAAACATCCCCAGTACGATTCGTCTAAACACGAGAACATTGAGATGTTCTACACCATCAATGGCTACTCATGATCAGGAAATGGAGCCGATAGGTTGACGATAATGTTTCCAACATGAATGTGCATTGTACTGTATGTATAATTATGTTAGCTCGGGTCATTATCATATTCAACCAAACCGAGAGGAAGCCCTCACATCATATATATATAAATATATGTTGCCCATCAGGTTTGACAAACCGTGACCATGCCAGTGATGAACATTGATCATAGACACGCAGATTTCTCATGACTTCACATAAAAAAATCACAGAGAATTTATGAACGAAATCTTGAATTTGTAAAGAGTGTAAAAAAAAATCAGATGTAAAACGCATTAAGATTCGGCCAACGTTTTATCGGTACCTATGACAAATGTATGGTTAACTACCTGTAAAGTAAAGAACTCGATCCCCTTTGCTTGACAGTGCAGTTGACATCGTCCTACTTTTGGTGAAGTGACGTTCTTCCCTTGAATGTCTGTAAGATTACCTGTATGACATCCTTAAAGAATAAAAAAGAGAAGAATGTTCTAACTTTTATCGATAGCATTATCATCATGTCTTGTAAAATACCGGAGTTGCATATACAATGTAATATAATCAAGAATTATAACACAGGTAATGTATGATACATAACACAGGTATTGTATGCTATATAACACAGGTATTGTATGATACATAATACAGGTATTGTATGATACATAACACAGGTATTGTATGATACATAACAAAGGTATTGTATGATACATAACACAGGTATTGTATGATACATAACACAGGTATTGTATGATACATAACACAGGTATTGTATGATACATAACACAGGTATTGTATGATACATAACACAGGTATTGTATGATACATAACACAGGTATTGTATGATACATAACACAGGTATTGTATGATACATAACACAGGTATTGTATGATACATAACACAGGTATTGTATGATACATAACACAGGTATTGTATGATACATAACACAGGTATTGTATGATACATAACACAGGTATTGTATGATACATAACACAGGTATTGTATGATACATAACACAGGTATTGTATGATACATAACACAGGTATTGTATGATACATAACACAGGTATTGTATGATACATAACACAGGTATTGTATGATACATAACACAGGTATTGTATGATACATAACACAGGTATTGTATGATACATAACACAGGTATTGTATGATACATAACACAGGTATTGTATGATACATAACACAGGTATTGTATGATACATAACACAGGTATTGTATGATACATAACACAGGTATTGTATGATACATAACACAGGTATTGTATGATACATAACACAGGTATTGTATGATACATAACACAGGTATTGTATGATACATAACACAGGTATTGTATGATACATAACACAGGTATTGTATGATACATAACACAGGTATTGTATGATACATAACACAGGTATTGTATGATACATAACACAGGTATTGTATGATACATAACACAGGTATTGTATGATACATAACACAGGTATTGTATGATACATAACACAGGTATTGTATGATACATAACACAGGTATTGTATGATACATAACACAGGTATTGTATGATACATAACACAGGTATTGTATGATACATAACACAGGTATTGTATGATACATAACACAGGTATTGTATGATACATAACACAGGTATTGTATGATACATAACACAGGTATTGTATGATACATAACACAGGTATTGTATGATACATAACACAGGTATTGTATGATACATAACACAGGTATTGTATGATACATAACACAGGTATTGTATGATACATAACACAGGTATTGTATGATACATAACACAGGTATTGTATGATACATAACACAGGTATTGTATGATACATAACACAGGTATTGTATGATACATAACACAGGTATTGTATGATACATAACACAGGTATTGTATGATACATAACACAGGTATTGTATGATACATAACACAGGTATTGTATGATACATAACACAGGTATTGTATGATACATAACACAGGTATTGTATGATACATAACACAGGTATTGTATGATACATAACACAGGTATTGTATGATACATAACACAGGTATTGTATGATACATAACACAGGTATTGTATGATACATAACACAGGTATTGTATGATACATAACACAGGTATTGTATGATACATAACACAGGTATTGTATGATACATAACACAGGTATTGTATGATACATAACACAGGTATTGTATGATACATAACACAGGTATTGTATGATACATAACACAGGTATTGTATGATACATAACACAGGTATTGTATGATACATAACACAGGTATTGTATGATACATAACACAGGTATTGTATGATACATAACACAGGTATTGTATGATACATAACACAGGTATTGTATGATACATAACACAGGTATTGTATGATACATAACACAGGTATTGTATGATACATAACACAGGTATTGTATGATACATAACACAGGTATTGTATGATACATAACACAGGTATTGTATGATACATAACACAGGTATTGTATGATACATAACACAGGTATTGTATGATACATAACACAGGTATTGTATGATACATAACACAGGTATTGTATGATACATAACACAGGTATTGTATGATACATAACACAGGTATTGTATGATACATAACACAGGTATTGTATGATACATAACACAGGTATTGTATGATACATAACACAGGTATTGTATGATACATAACACAGGTATTGTATGATACATAACACAGGTATTGTATGATACATAACACAGGTATTGTATGATACATAACACAGGTATTGTATGATACATAACACAGGTATTGTATGATACATAACACAGGTATTGTATGATACATAACACAGGTATTGTATGATACATAACACAGGTATTGTATGATACATAACACAGGTATTGTATGATACATAACACAGGTATTGTATGATACATAACACAGGTATTGTATGATACATAACACAGGTATTGTATGATACATAACACAGGTATTGTATGATACATAACACAGGTATTGTATGATACATAACACAGGTATTGTATGATACATAACACAGGTATTGTATGATACATAACACAGGTATTGTATGATACATAACACAGGTATTGTATGATACATAACACAGGTATTGTATGATACATAACACAGGTATTGTATGATACATAACACAGGTATTGTATGATACATAACACAGGTATTGTATGATACATAACACAGGTATTGTATGATACATAACACAGGTATTGTATGATACATAACACAGGTATTGTATGATACATAACACAGGTATTGTATGATACATAACACAGGTATTGTATGATACATAACACAGGTATTGTATGATACATAACACAGGTATTGTATGATACATAACACAGGTATTGTATGATACATAACACAGGTATTGTATGATACATAACACAGGTATTGTATGATACATAACACAGGTATTGTATGATACATAACACAGGTATTGTATGATACATAACACAGGTATTGTATGATACATAACACAGGTATTGTATGATACATAACACAGGTATTGTATGATACATAACACAGGTATTGTATGATACATAACACAGGTATTGTATGATACATAACACAGGTATTGTATGATACATAACACAGGTATTGTATGATACATAACACAGGTATTGTATGATACATAACACAGGTATTGTATGATACATAACACAGGTATTGTATGATACATAACACAGGTATTGTATGATACATAACACAGGTATTGTATGATACATAACACAGGTATTGTATGATACATAACACAGGTATTGTATGATACATAACACAGGTATTGTATGATACATAACACAGGTATTGTATGATACATAACACAGGTATTGTATGATACATAACACAGGTATTGTATGATACATAACACAGGTATTGTATGATACATAACACAGGTATTGTATGATACATAACACAGGTATTGTATGATACATAACACAGGTATTGTATGATACATAACACAGGTATTGTATGATACATAACACAGGTATTGTATGATACATAACACAGGTATTGTATGATACATAACACAGGTATTGTATGATACATAACACAGGTATTGTATGATACATAACACAGGTATTGTATGATACATAACACAGGTATTGTATGATACATAACACAGGTATTGTATGATACATAACACAGGTATTGTATGATACATAACACAGGTATTGTATGATACATAACACAGGTATTGTATGATACATAACACAGGTATTGTATGATACATAACACAGGTATTGTATGATACATAACACAGGTATTGTATGATACATAACACAGGTATTGTATGATACATAACACAGGTATTGTATGATACATAACACAGGTATTGTATGATACATAACACAGGTATTGTATGATACATAACACAGGTATTGTATGATACATAACACAGGTATTGTATGATACATAACACAGGTATTGTATGATACATAACACAGGTATTGTATGATACATAACACAGGTATTGTATGATACATAACACAGGTATTGTATGATACATAACACAGGTATTGTATGATACATAACACAGGTATTGTATGATACATAACACAGGTATTGTATGATACATAACACAGGTATTGTATGATACATAACACAGGTATTGTATGATACATAACACAGGTATTGTATGATACATAACACAGGTATTGTATGATACATAACACAGGTATTGTATGATACATAACACAGGTATTGTATGATACATAACACAGGTATTGTATGATACATAACACAGGTATTGTATGATACATAACACAGGTATTGTATGATACATAACACAGGTATTGTATGATACATAACACAGGTATTGTATGATACATAACACAGGTATTGTATGATACATAACACAGGTATTGTATGATACATAACACAGGTATTGTATGATACATAACACAGGTATTGTATGATACATAACACAGGTATTGTATGATACATAACACAGGTATTGTATGATACATAACACAGGTATTGTATGATACATAACACAGGTATTGTATGATACATAACACAGGTATTGTATGATACATAACACAGGTATTGTATGATACATAACACAGGTATTGTATGATACATAACACAGGTATTGTATGATACATAACACAGGTATTGTATGATACATAACACAGGTATTGTATGATACATAACACAGGTATTGTATGATACATAACACAGGTATTGTATGATACATAACACAGGTATTGTATGATACATAACACAGGTATTGTATGATACATAACACAGGTATTGTATGATACATAACACAGGTATTGTATGATACATAACACAGGTATTGTATGATACATAACACAGGTATTGTATGATACATAACACAGGTATTGTATGATACATAACACAGGTATTGTATGATACATAACACAGGTATTGTATGATACATAACACAGGTATTGTATGATACATAACACAGGTATTGTATGATACATAACACAGGTATTGTATGATACATAACACAGGTATTGTATGATACATAACACAGGTATTGTATGATACATAACACAGGTATTGTATGATACATAACACAGGTATTGTATGATACATAACACAGGTATTGTATGATACATAACACAGGTATTGTATGATACATAACACAGGTATTGTATGATACATAACACAGGTATTGTATGATACATAACACAGGTATTGTATGATACATAACACAGGTATTGTATGATACATAACACAGGTATTGTATGATACATAACACAGGTATTGTATGATACATAACACAGGTATTGTATGATACATAACACAGGTATTGTATGATACATAACACAGGTATTGTATGATACATAACACAGGTATTGTATGATACATAACACAGGTATTGTATGATACATAACACAGGTATTGTATGATACATAACACAGGTATTGTATGATACATAACACAGGTATTGTATGATACATAACACAGGTATTGTATGATACATAACACAGGTATTGTATGATACATAACACAGGTATTGTATGATACATAACACAGGTATTGTATGATACATAACACAGGTATTGTATGATACATAACACAGGTATTGTATGATACATAACACAGGTATTGTATGATACATAACACAGGTATTGTATGATACATAACACAGGTATTGTATGATACATAACACAGGTATTGTATGATACATAACACAGGTATTGTATGATACATAACACAGGTATTGTATGATACATAACACAGGTATTGTATGATACATAACACAGGTATTGTATGATACATAACACAGGTATTGTATGATACATAACACAGGTATTGTATGATACATAACACAGGTATTGTATGATACATAACACAGGTATTGTATGATACATAACACAGGTATTGTATGATACATAACACAGGTATTGTATGATACATAACACAGGTATTGTATGATACATAACACAGGTATTGTATGATACATAACACAGGTATTGTATGATACATAACACAGGTATTGTATGATACATAACACAGGTATTGTATGATACATAACACAGGTATTGTATGATACATAACACAGGTATTGTATGATACATAACACAGGTATTGTATGATACATAACACAGGTATTGTATGATACATAACACAGGTATTGTATGATACATAACACAGGTATTGTATGATACATAACACAGGTATTGTATGATACATAACACAGGTATTGTATGATACATAACACAGGTATTGTATGATACATAACACAGGTATTGTATGATACATAACACAGGTATTGTATGATACATAACACAGGTATTGTATGATACATAACACAGGTATTGTATGATACATAACACAGGTATTGTATGATACATAACACAGGTATTGTATGATACATAACACAGGTATTGTATGATACATAACACAGGTATTGTATGATACATAACACAGGTATTGTATGATACATAACACAGGTATTGTATGATACATAACACAGGTATTGTATGATACATAACACAGGTATTGTATGATACATAACACAGGTATTGTATGATACATAACACAGGTATTGTATGATACATAACACAGGTATTGTATGATACATAACACAGGTATTGTATGATACATAACACAGGTATTGTATGATACATAACACAGGTATTGTATGATACATAACACAGGTATTGTATGATACATAACACAGGTATTGTATGATACATAACACAGGTATTGTATGATACATAACACAGGTATTGTATGATACATAACACAGGTATTGTATGATACATAACACAGGTATTGTATGATACATAACACAGGTATTGTATGATACATAACACAGGTATTGTATGATACATAACACAGGTATTGTATGATACATAACACAGGTATTGTATGATACATAACACAGGTATTGTATGATACATAACACAGGTATTGTATGATACATAACACAGGTATTGTATGATACATAACACAGGTATTGTATGATACATAACACAGGTATTGTATGATACATAACACAGGTATTGTATGATACATAACACAGGTATTGTATGATACATAACACAGGTATTGTATGATACATAACACAGGTATTGTATGATACATAACACAGGTATTGTATGATACATAACACAGGTATTGTATGATACATAACACAGGTATTGTATGATACATAACACAGGTATTGTATGATACATAACACAGGTATTGTATGATACATAACACAGGTATTGTATGATACATAACACAGGTATTGTATGATACATAACACAGGTATTGTATGATACATAACACAGGTATTGTATGATACATAACACAGGTATTGTATGATACATAACACAGGTATTGTATGATACATAACACAGGTATTGTATGATACATAATACAGGTATTGTATGATACATAACACAGGTATTGTATGATATATAACACAGGTATTGTATGATACATAATACAGGTAATGTATGATATATATAACTCAGGATATATACTGTATGATACACACACTTTATTGTAATAACTAAGGAATTGAAAGGGTAACATTTCCAGTGATGTGGTACATACCAGGGATTCGCTCACCTGTATAGAGACGACGAGCGTGTTCAACAGATGGGTAACATGTATCACCTGCACGCTACAACATCACTTAAGTTGTATGATACATTGTACAGGAATTGTACGATACACTTCATTGTTATACAGAAGTTTTAAGATAAATCACACGATGCATAACACAGACGACGATTGATTCAATGTAACCAAGTACACTTCCTGAAATTCGATTAACTGTTTACAGAGGAATGATATCATACGGGTATAATTGAAGGCTTAGTGTGTACTACCTTATTGATGAGACAAGAAGACTAACTAGCTCGATCCTTCGATAAAAAAAAGACTGTCGCGGTCGCGTAACGGAAGAAATTGACTGACTTTGAAGTCGGAAGTCGCTCCTGTGTCATCTTCGAAGGACAGGCATCAGCCTAGCGATTGGTCAGGTTTTCTATCCTTAAACCAATCAAACAGCTGTATTTAGTAAGAATAATAATAATATTAATTCGAGGTTCTTATACATGTATACCGCTTTATTACAACCCAGTTCGTAGAAGGTCTCAAAGCGGTTCACAAATTATTATCCGTGGTTATAGGACCTTTGTAACCAGTCAATATCTTTCCCAACTCCCTGGGGAGCATGCAGCCGGAGCTGCCATTTCGGCGCTAACAGCTAGCATTCAACAATTCTAGCGCTGCCCAACCACGTACTCATTTACAGCTGAGTAGACTGGAACAAGCGGAGTAAAGTATTTTGCTCAAAGATACAACACAGTACCGTGCCGTGACTCGAACACGCAACACTTCGGTCACGAGCCCGGCGTCCTACCACTAGCTATATATAGACTACCATGGCTTCAATTTTGCTATGACATATTCCAGGGATGCAGAGAGCGAAAGTGAGCGTAACACCTGGATACCGAGGATGTGCATTGGACTACCGTTCCCACTCGTGTCTATTCTTAAAACTTCCCCATCATTTCCGGAAGACATGTTGGTTTCTAAATGTCGTAGTGGATACCAGAAACAATCGATTATTTTTATTCAAAATAAGTAAAGGAAAATATTGAAAGCAGCTACGATATGTCATATCGGTTTACGGAATAAAAAATATCACTGCTCAGGTGGCGGTTTACCTGTCTACCTCACTTAATCTGTCTTTTTGACGATCGTTATAGATCATGATCTATAGTAAGCACTAAAAATCTCAATTTTATTTCTACATCAGTACCATTTAAGTTCCTATTTCAATTGTAAACGAAAAATGTACGTACTACAGAATAACTTACCTTGATTAGCCACCCAACCAGACAAGAAAGTTCGTTTGCGGGTCCACACACTGCTGACACTGGCATTAGTTGACAGTTCGTCTCCATTTGTGTTACTCTCGTTAGTGGTGGCAAGGTTACTTCCGTTTTTGGCGCATGCATCTTTGGCTTCATACCAAGATTTCCCCTCCTTAGATGGAGTTAACTGTAGGGTTCCTGCAATAACGACGCATATTTGTATCTTTATTAGAAAACTCAGATTATGTTATTTAAAGTCAGTCGTGCGTACCTGCAATAGGTGTGAACACAACCCTTCTATCGAAGTTACAGTTAGCGGGGGGTGTTTACACCTATCGAAGTTACAGGTAGCGGGGGGTGTTTACACCTATCGAAGTTACAGGTAGAAGGGTGTGTTTACACCTATCGAAGTTACAGGTAGCGGGGGGTGTTTACACCTATCGCAGTTACAGGTAGTAGTAGTAGTGTGTTTACACCTATCGAAGTTACAGGTAGTAGTCGTGTGTTTACACCTATCGAAGTTACAGGTAGTAGTAGTGTGTTTACACCTATCGAAGTTACAGCTAGAAGGGGTGTATTTACACCTATCGAAGTTTTTTCAAGGTCCTTCCTTATAACGCGGTTCAACTAGGTATGGGACTCGCGCAACCAAATAATTCCCTATTTATACTTCTACTTAACAAGTTCAACACTAGATCTATAGAAAATATATAGATTCATGGAAACATATACGTATCTGTAAAAAGACTACAAATGGTCTAGTAAAACAATTTAATGATATGTTACAGCGAACCAGGCTTTAGATATTTACATCCGGGAGTTTACAAGTGGTACCGCTAACCCATGTCAGTCGAAAAAACCTTTAACAATCTTACAACCATACTATTTTCTGAAGTTGAATGATTTGTCACTATTTCCACATTTAAATTCTCAAGCGGCACGTTATGTTAACGATGAAATACTAGATAGGAACAAAAAAACGAATGAAACATTTGTCTAATCAGCTGATTTACATGAATCTACGCGAGTCCTGTATACCACGATCTTAGTAACGGGTACACTGTAGGTGTAAACAGCTAAGTAACAGGTAAAATGAATGGATGGACAGCAAAGTTACAAGTAGAATGGGTGTTCTTACACCTTTCAAAGTTACATGTTGAGGGGTGTATTCACAATAGTTAAAATTACAGTAGAAGGGGTGTATTAACACCTTTCGCATTTACAGGTAGAAGGGGTGTATTTACACCTTTCGCATTTACAGGTAGAAGGGGTGTATTTAAACCTGTCGAAGGTACAGGTAGAAGGGGTGTGTTTACACCTATCAAAGTCACAGGTAGAAGGGGGGTGTTTACACCTATCGAAGTTACAAGTAAAAGGGGTGTGCTTACACCTATCGAAGTTACAAGTAGAAGGGGGTGCTTACACCTATCAAAGTCACAGGTAGAAGGAAGTTGTTTACACCTATCGAAGTCACAGGTAGAAGGGGGTGCTTACACCTATCAAAGTCACAGGTAGAAGGGTTGTGTTTACACCTTTCGAAGTCACAGGTAGAAGGGGGGTGTTTCACCTATCGAAGTTACAGGTAGAAGGGGGTGTTTACACCTATCGAAGTCACAGGTAGAAGGGGGGTGTTTACACCTATCGAAGTCACAGGTAGAAGGGGGGTGTTTACACCTATCGAAGTTACAGGTAGAAGAGTGTGTTTACACCCATCGGTGCTACAGGTAGAAGGGGTGTATCTACATATATCGTAGTTACAGGTAGTAGAAGTGGGTTTACACCTATCGAAGTTACAGCTAGAAGGGGTGTATTTACACCTGTCGAAGTTTTGTTAAGGTCTTTCCTTATAACGCGGTTCAACTAGGTATGGGACTCGCGCAACCAAATAATTCCCTATTTATACTTCTACTTAACAAGTTCAACACTAGATCTATAGAAAATATATAGATTCATGGAAACATATACGTATCTGAAAAAAGACTACAAATGGTCTAGTAAAACAATTTAATGATATGTTACAGCGAACCAGGCTTTAGACATTTACATCCGGGAGTTTACAAGTTTACACCTATCGAAGTTACAAGTAGAAGGGGTGTGTTTACCCCTATCAAAGTCACAGGTAGAAGGGGGGTGTTTACACCTATCAAAGTCACAGGTAGAAGAGGTGTGCTTACACCTATCGAAGTTACAAGTAGAAGGGGTGTGCTTACACCTATCGAAGTTACAAGTAGAAGGGGTTTGTTTACACCTATAGAAGTTACAAGTAGAAGGGGTGTATTTAAACCTGTCAAAGGTACAGGTAGAAGGGGTGTGTTTACACCTATCAAAGTCACAGGTAGAAGGGGGTGCTTACACCTATCAAAGTTACAAGTAAAAGGGTTGTGTTTACACCTATCGAAGTTACAGGTAGAAGGGGTGTGTTAACACCCATCGATGTTACAGGTAGAAGGGGTGTATCTACATATATCGTAGTTACAGGTAGTAGTAGTGTGTTTACACCTATCGAAGTTACAGCTAGAAGGGGTGTATTTACACCTGTCGAAGTTTTATTAAGGTCCTTCCTTATAACGCGGTTCAACTAGGTATGGGACTCGCGCAACCAAATAATTCCCTTTTTATGCTTCTACCTAACAAGTTCAACACTAGATCTATAGAAAATATATAGATTCATGGAAACATATACGTATCTGTAAAAAGACTACAAATGGTCTAGTAAAACAATTTAATGATATGTTACAGCGAACCAGGCTTTAGACATTTACATCCGGGAGTTTACAAGTGGTACCGCTAACCCATGTCGGTCGAAAAAACCTTTAAAAATCTTACAACCATACTATTTTCTACAGTTGAATGATTTGTCACTATTTCCACATTTAAATTATCAAGCGGCACGTTATGTAAACGATGAAATACTAGATAGGAACAAAAAAACGAATGAAACATTTGTCTAATCAGCTGATTTACATGAATCTACGCGAGTCCTGTATACCACAATCTTAGTAACGGGTACAATGTAGGTGTAAACAGCTAAGTAACAGGTAAAACGAATGGATGGACAGCAAAGTTACAAGAAGAATGGGTTTTCTTACACCTCTTAAAATTACATGTTGAGGGGTGTAATTACACATGTCGAAATTACAGGTAGAAGGGGTGTATTTACACCTTTCGCATTTATAGGTAGAAGGGTTGTATTAAAACCTGTCGAAGGTACAGGTAGAAGGGGTGTGTTTACACCTATCGAAGTTACAGGTAAAAGAGGGGTGTTTACACCTATCGAAGTTACAGGTAGTAGAGGGGTGTTTACACCTATCGATATTACAGGTAAAAGAGGGGTGCTTACACCTATCGAAGTTGCAAGTAGAAGGGGGTGCTTACGCCTATCAAAGTCACAGGTAGAAGGGGGGTGTTTACACCTATCGAAGTTACAAGTAGAAGGGGTGTGCTAACACCTATCGAAATTACAAGCAGAAGAGGTGTGCTTACACCTATCATAGTCACAGGTAGAAGAGTGTGTTTACACCTATCAAAGTCACAGGTAGAAGGGGGGTGTTTACACCTATCGAGGTCACAGGTAGAGGGGTGTGTTTACACCTATCAAAGTCACAGGTAGAAGGGGGGTGTTTACACCTATCGAAGTCACAGGTAGAGGGGTGTGTTAGGTGTGTGATTACAACTATCAGAGTTATAGGTAGAGGTAGACTTTACACCTATCTAAGTTACACGTAGAAGGGGTGTATTTACACATGTCGTAGTTACAGGTTTTAGTAATGTTGAGCTTATTGATTGTTAAGTAGTAGTGTAAATAGGGAATTATTTAGTTGCGCGCATCCGATACCCAGTTGAACCATATTATAAGGAAGGACCTTTTACAAAATTCATAATTAATTAGGAATATAAAACTTTTGCAAATACGAAGCTATTGGGGAAAAAAATAAAATTTTGGACTTAGGAATGTATCGGCGGTAACAAATGGGGCATTACATTGAGGTTAGTGTACTATGTTTGTATACCCCCACCCCCACCCCCACCCCCATCCCCTGCAGTGTTTTCCCTCTCTTCTTCTGTCTTTCTCTACTTTCTTTTCTCGTTCTCTTCCCGTCTCGTATCTTCTCTCCCTCCTTTTCTCACTTTCTACATATCTGCAGCTTTATATGCAATAAGATCATGGTGTCAACTCAACGAGATCGTAAATTAGTTAGCTGACCAATATGATAATTATACTCTCATTACACATGTCAGCTAACGTATCTGTAGTAACTGGATTTATTATTAGTTATATATTCAGCGATTCTCTCAATTAACAGTTTACGCTCGATTCAAATCAGTTTTGATAAACTACGTAAGCTGACCATGCTTAGGTATTTGTTTTGATGTTATTAACTTACGTTTAAGTAAGAGGCACGACATATCATAATCTACATAACAAAGCGAGGTCGTGAGATTTAGTTCAACTTAAACGAGACACACCTAAAATATTTCGGTATGGACTATATCGTGTATATATGATCCCGAAGTTACAAGATGACGAAAAATCGACCGCCAAAGCCATTCACACTTGTAGTACTCAAAATTCTGAATGACATGACATGTATACGATATAAATAGTTATATTACCTGTTAGTGACATCACGGTACAGAGTGTAACCATCAGATCATAGCACGACGCCATCTTCACCGACGCACATGTACAATCCTAACAGATTGTGTTTTATTATTTTCTCACACCAGGAAGTAAATCTCTGCTTGAAAGGGATCTCAATTTGAACGGGATTTGACACTTCACCGCCCTTCCGGCAACACAACATATCCCCGGTTGTCTGGCAACAACTGAAAATGGTACATTCATGTACATGGGGGACACATATTTCCATCCGGTTGCGTCACAACAACCTGACATCAACATAAACTACAAAATCGAATTAGTAAGGGTTGTCGATTTCACGGAACTCCCTATATATACAAGTGTAAACAAAATACCACGTCATGATCACCACGCGAATTAGTTTCAATCGTTAAATGGAGATTTTACTTTGCTACACTCTGTAGTTGTCCAGTCTTTTTCAAATTTATTTTTCAAATTTGTCTTTTTTATTTCTTTGTTATATTTATTTATTGTAAGCACTTATCTTGAAGTGTATTTTTAAAATGTATTTCTGTTTATTTTTCTATCATAAAAAATATTTCCACAAAGACAATATTTTAATTGACATAGTGTTGCGTATTTTTGTGTATTGTCTCTACATCTAGTTAGTATTTGTCGGAGTGTCGGGTTTCTAACGTTTGATTTGTAAACAGTCATTTATAAAGTATATTTCAGATTATCATATCCCGGACGTCACCGTTATGATTGTCATAATTTGCAGTTAAGTTAAACGAGAAAAAAATGATGCTACTATCGCCGAGCTTAGTAATTTATACGCGTGACATTTCCTCGTTTTTGCGAAAATTGACAGGGATTTTTATATTTCCTCCGTTATCTTTAAGAAATCATTGATAAAACCAATACATGTAACAAGTTATTCGGAGTATGATATTGCCATGATGGTTATAAATTCAAAAACACAATTCTGTCGCATGACGTAAATATGCACGTCGCCATTCCGACACTAAGAAGCGTGTTTTGTCAACCACGAACCGATTGTAGATACAGTCAACGATAGGTTTCTTTTTGTCTTTTGTTTCGTACACATATACATAGTGTCAATTATGTACCACAACTGTGCCAAATTTTGTCATCCTGAAGCCACATGAGGGCGAATTATCAAATTCTAATTTTGTAACACTTATCAATCGTAATTTGTGTACTTCTTCATATGACATCGTTTGGCGATGCTACTAAACCTACCAAGCACATATTTATTGTGCTCCCATTTCGATTATTTTAAGATCTGTCGTAAATATAAAGTTTGTCTATACGTGTAATTAAGTTGACAAAACTTTGATTTATGATCCCCAAAAGATACAGATTACATTTAAATGACGGGAACGGGGTTTTAAAAGCTGGCCGACTACATATTTAATTGTTCACGAATCCGGTACGTTATACATGTATTATGTGGTCGGTTATCTCATCTTTTGTCAGCCAATAGAAAGTTTATTTTTAGCACGATACAAAGAATTAAACCCGCAGTCCCTAGAATATACTAATATACACATAGCCAGACTCGTGATCACCCACTTAAAGGTCACTGGTCGTGAATGTAATACTGACTATGTTCGGCCATTAAACCATGTGTCTAGTCCCTGTGTCAATTATATATGCAATAGACACAGGGACCAGACACATGGCTAATGTTTCATAAGTCTGCCCCCTGCTTACAAGGTGCATATATTCAGGTAGCGAATATGACTAATGGCTAATATAACTTGATGATCATACTACGGTCGGTCAGCAAATATTTTAGTTCCGGAAACAGGTAAATTAGTATATTTCCTTCTTATTTTACAATGTACACCGAAAGTTCTGTGAGAATATATCAAGATTGAGACATACTTGATCTAAATGTCATCTCGTACGTCGCAAAATAGCCATAGTCAATATCTCAAAGGATAAAAAAGGTTTGCCTAAAGAAGCAAAATAAAAACAAACAAAAACGGTTTAATTCATATCTGTTCGGGAGACGACTTGCTTGATGGTGTATATATTTAACAAGACTTTTTATTGTACTGAAGACGTTGATAGCACTACACACGTATTGTGATGTTATATGTCAAGCCAACTGATGCCAAAAGACTGGCCCAAAAAATATTAGAGACATCTGTCAATAGCATAAAGAGATAAATCTTATTGAAATACAGATATTTTTGATGCAATATAGTTGTATTTATAAAAATCAAGGATATCTTTAAAACAGTGTTTGAACGAGATACATGAACCTTTGTATCAATTAATTATATATCTATAAAAACATAACGATTACTTTGTAATAGCATTTCTTATTACATTTAAAGATAGCTTATGTACGTTTAAAAAAAAGATATATCAAAATGAATGAAGTTGGCTTGCCATAGTGTTATATACTGGTACGACTTTTAGCCTTATATACGATTGTATGTTCTTGGAAATCAAAGAGACGATTTAGAACCAGGTGTTCACAAATACCACTGCATTTGTATAGCGAAAAAAATCCAAATACTAAGATGAATGGCACGTGGTAATGAGGAAATTACCACAAAAGTAAACAAGATAACTCGCACTGTCGCTTTTACTTCCCTGCTTTAAGTTTATTATCAAAAGCTGATGTTTATCATACGAGCGTTAATTCTCATGTATAACAAGGTGCAAATTATATGTAAATATTTACACAGTATAGCCGGAAATTACTTACACAACATGCATTAAAACTGAAAAGTAAGTGTTTAAAGGGAGGTAAGCGAATCTAGAATTTTGAATATTACAATGTAGCTAAGGTCCATAGCTGCACTGGGCATGGACAATCGACTTCTGTTGCATAAACTCCTGCATACGCGAGGAGAGGAGAAATTTGTGAAGTTGTACTCATTAAGACATTGCTTTGCATTTGTGAAAAGCTTAATGAGTTATTTTGTTCCTGATGCCTGTACATGATGTTGAATCTATCAGCGTCTGTTATATCTATGTCTGAGTCTTGTCAACAGTACATTCGATATTTAGCCCACACTTTGAAGTAATTATAAAAAGGGAAAGTTAAAGAACGTAGTTTATGGAAGACTACCTTTAAGAGTTTCAAAAGCAGATAACGGCCCACCTATCCCGTTTGTGTATTGTGTGAGTGTCTACAAGCATATAGAGGCATTGGTCCAGTAAAAATATATTTTGTCGAGGTTAAGAATAAGAGTACTTTGATGTTTCAACTGAAAAGAAATTGGAAAGACTTTCTAGGTTATCCAAAAAGTGATTAATATATCTTTACAAGATGAGGGTTCGAAGGACAGAACCTTTGTGAACGCTATCGTTGATATACTTTAAAGTAGATTCAAATTCATTTTTGTATCAAAACATCATAAACAAGCTCCCAGCAATCCACCCAATACAATATTGTTTACACGATTTCACTGTGTGCGTTATTTAATTTTCAAGATGATAGGCATTTTTTTTCTTTCTTATTACTCTTCTTGAATCTGATGTAAGCCAAGACTGTTGTTGTATGGACTTATAGTTACTAGTTTTTACAAGTATATATTCTCTGTTGATATCTTAATACTGATCACCGCGTGCTGGTATCTGTGTTTACATTGGCCGCCTTAGCATATATGTAACCGGAAACTGATACCAGCGAAACACTCCGATATCGTTTGTTGTAACCTAGATATTTACACAATGGAATCGATTTTATTGATTTATTCCGTTATCAATATTTTCAGTCTGGACATACATTTCATACTTTTGAAAGAGGAACATCATGTATAATTTCAAACTGCGTATTGAAACCGCGTGTTTCCAGTTTCGTTTTGCTTAGGAAGGACAAACAGAATACGAAACTTAAGAGCCCTAGCTGGTTTCAGAAAAACAGCCGATAAATAAATGATACGATTGTTTAACATTTTTAACGTATATGTAAGCACATCAGCTTCACTGATCGGCGTGGTTGGGTGACGTCGCACATGTAGACCTGACGAGAGTTTCCGTTGAATGTTTACGACACAGAAAATAACAATGGCGGCTCTCTGACAGATTTACCTGATTGTTACATGTAATTTGGGGAAACAAGACAACAGAAGCACTTGTTTACACTGTTCATATTTACAAAAGTGTCAACAAATAATCAGATTTTAAACAATATACTCTCCGTTTGCCGATTATACCACGCGGAGTCTTACAATGCCGGAGACCAAATTTAGTCAACTTCAACTCATCCGTTCACAAAGAGAGAGAGAGAGAGAGAGAGAGAGAGAGAGAGAGAGAGAGAGAGAGAGAGAACGGACAGACCCCAACATATCCTGTTCTCGTCGACTTGTCGCGAGAGTATACTATCCCAGTTGTTGAATTTACGAACTTTAAACAAGTGCTATCAGTGTTATCAGAATTACTTTGAGTTGTTATATATACATTATATAGATGATGATTCGGGTCAAAAGTTCAGGTCTGTGTATACATACTTAATAGAACACAATCATAGCAGATAACATCATATAAATCACACGTACGATACCGGTATTATCACCTACAGATGAAGGACATTGGGAAAGGAACAACTGGAACAGGGTACATGATCAATAACAATCAAAGACTGAAAAATGCAATCGCCTGCCATGGAATATCCGCGCTAAGTGTACCGACGGCGTGTGCTGTCATGTGAGTCGCGCTTGGTAAATCTATTTTTAGCTGCCTTGTACCCGGGAACCATGGATGACAGGAAGGACGGTGTACGTACTCCGCTGTTAGAGGTGGTCAAGCCGGAGGTCAAGCAGTCTGTAAAAACAGCTGTTTATACCCGGCGATGGTACATGTTAGCCTTATACAGCTTCGTATGTTTCTGTCAGGCGTTGGTCTGGAACACGTGGGGTCCGATCACACAGTCCGCCAAAGTTGTGTTCAAATGGGAGGACAGTAATATAGGGATGTTAGCTAACTGGGGGAACATCGCCTACATTTTCACAGTCTTCCCTGCCTGTTATCTCATGGACGTCAAAGGTAATCTTAACTTTGGAAAAAACATCTACTTCTTGCCTTCATTTCGTCCTTCATTTCTTTCCTTTTTTCCTTTACTGTTTCCTTTCTTGATTGTGATTGATTGATTATTTATTTATTTAATTATTAAAACAGTGATTGATACTGTGATTGATACAGTGATTGATTGATTGATTGATTGTGATTGATTAATACAGTGAGTGATACTGTGATTGATTGATTGTGAGTGATACTGTGATTGATTGATTGTGATTGATACTGTGATTGATACAGTGATTGATTGATTGTTTGATTGTGATTGATTAATACAGTGAGTGATACTGTGATTGATTGATTGTGAGTGATACTGTGATTGATACTGTGATTAATACAGTGAGTGATTGATTGATTAATACAGTGAGTGATACTGTGATTGATTGAATGATTGTGCTTGATTGATACTGTGTATTAGTGATACTGTGATTGATTGTGATTGATAATGTGAGTGATACTGTGATTGATTGATTGATTGATCGATTGTGCTTGATAATGTGATTGATACTGTGAGTGATACTGTGATTGATTGAATGATTGTGCTTGATTAATACAGTGAGTGATACTGTGATTGATTGATTGTGATTGATAATGTGAGTGATACTGTGAGTGATTGATTGTGATTGATAATGTGAGTGATACTGTGAGTGATACTGTGATTGATTGATTGTGATTGATACTGTGATTGATACTGTGATTGATTGATTGATTGTGATTGTTTGATACTGTGATTGATTGAAACTGTGATTGAATGAAACTGTGATTGATACTGTGATTGATACTGTGTATTAGTGATACTGTGATTGATTGAAACTGTGATTGAATGAAACTGTGATTGATTGATTAGGCGATACTGTGATTAAATAATACTGTGATTTATTTATTTATTTATTTATTTATTTATTTATTTATTTATTTATCTATTTATTGATTGATTGATTGATTTATTGATTTAAACTGTGATTGATTAATACTATGCTTGATTGATTGATTGATTGATTCATTCATTCATTGATTAATACTGGGATTGATTGATTGATACTGTGGTTGATTGATTCTGTGATTGATTGATTGATTGGTAAATCAATACATTGATCGATACTTTGATTGATTGACATATTGATTGATACTGTGATTGATTGATTGATTGATTGATTGATTGATTGATTGATTGATTGATTGATTGATTGATTGATTGATTGATACAGTGATCGATTGATACTGTAATTGATTAATACTGGTATTGCTTGATTGATTAATATATATATTGGTTACTGTGATTGATTGATACTGGGATTGATTGATATTGTGCTTGATTAATTGATTGATTGATTGATATTGCGATTGAATGGGTAATGTGATTGATTGATACTGTAATTGATTGGTTGACTGATTAATTAATACAGTGAGTGATACTGTGATTAATTGATTGATTGATACTGTGATTGATCGATTGATTGAGCGATTGAGCGATAACTCTTGGTATAGCCCGATGTTTTTGTTAACCCTATACGGTAAATGTTATTTACGTTAGTGTTATCTTTACCCAGAACCGTGGATAAGGACGGTATAGAGAACAGTGAAGTCAGTAAAACCAGTCCCTGACGATGTTTCTACATGCGATTATATCACAGACAAAAGTACACTTTACAAACACAGGGACCTGATACCTTGTACACAGTTATATTTAGACCTAAACTGAGTTTCCAAGTTTTTTGGGTTTAGATCAAATTTTTGCAAAAACAATTCCACTCCACAAGATAATTGATCTAGACCCCTTAAACGAGTATTGTTACTAGTCTGAATACCTTATTTTATGTACATTTAACAAATGCTGAGGTCACTTTGTTTACAGCTACGGCTCTGAGTTTTGTATACAACATACGGCCAAGTAGAGACATGCCATCGTCGTTGCCGTCGTAAATAATACAGCAAATACATCAGTATCACAATTTATTGTGTTTATTTCATACGATGATAGAATCAAATTTTGCCGCTTTTTTAAGACTCGGAACTGTCGATCGTCGCTCTTCTGTTCCGGAGGTACACAAAGATGTTGTTATGCTTCTGCAAGCACACTGATGTCAGATGATTGAAGTGGTTTTGTGTCTAGTCTTCTGGTCGCTATGAGATATCGGACCGTAGGTAGTAGGTACGGACACATTGTTCATTTCTCTAGTGGATGAATCGATTGGAATGTGTGCGTATAATACAGATAGTCTATGTGGACAACCAGTCAGGGTGTTCGCTCGTGTCCTCTGAGTCAGGTAGACGAAAACAGCATGTTCAATCATCGTCTTCCTGTTGCTTTTACAGGCACTGACAGACGACCAGGAAACCCTTTAAATGTACTAGTTGACAGAAGTGTCTATATTCAAGTGACACAATGCCACGGGACATCGAATGTGCAAACGACGATGTGTGTGTGTGTGTGTGCAGGGGGGAATCCCCGTTCTATAAATAGACTTGTGGCCTGCATACGCAAGTGCTCCGTGAAATAAAAATCAATTTAGACTTAATAAGACTTCAGACGTCACGATGGAAAGGAGCGAGGACAATGCTCGCACGCCGCTTTTAGGGAACAGTGGTTCAGGTGCCAACGGTGACACCCCCGGGACAGCAGTATACACCCGTAGATGGTATATGTTGAGCGTGTTTTGTGGGGTGTGTTTAGGTCAAGCTTTAATTTGGAACACGTGGGGGCCAATCACTCAGTCGGCCAAGGTTGTGTTTAAGTGGGAGGACAGTACTATAGCGATGCTGGCGAACTGGGGAAATATCGCTTATATAATAGCGTGTTTCCCTGTGTGTTACTTAACAACGGTCAAAGGTAATGTATGATTGAATATAATTCCATGAACAGGTCTACTTCATCTATATATGTTGTCTGTGTAGTCATATTCTGAGCTTTGATTTTACTACATGTTTAAACAAGTGGCAGACAGAAAAGGGTGGGATATACGAAGGATATTACTTATAGAAGAGGGCTAGTTTGCTTAAACTGATCAAAATCGCAGGCTTCAAAATTCTGGGCAAAAACAGGCGACCGATCAGAATGTTGAAGCCTGTTCATGTGGTCAGTTTTAGCGAACGAGAAGAGGGCCACTTCGTCAAAATTATAAATCAACCAACAAATCCATCCTATCATTTTGGTTTCAGTGAAGATTTACATTATTTTGGGAACATGTCCATTAAACTTGACCTCTTCCGTGTTTTTTTCTGCTCGTAAGTTTCTCAGTGGGTTTGATAGACAAGTTTACTTCAGATTAAAGGAAGCAAACGTGTTTTTTTTTTAATTGGATGAAAAATTACGTCATGATACTTTGTGACGTTATGTATCAAATGAAGTTACATGTGCAACATTTCGTCATCATTCGTGATTTTTTTTTCAAAATTGAACCCTGAAATCGTGCATAAGATATTGTTTACTGGTAATAGAATAAATGTAGAATCCAATTCCCATTTTCGTAATCATTTTGGATCTGTATTGCTTTATAGGTACTTTTAAATATGCAGGTATGTATGTATTGCATGATATCTTCAGGAATACCTCAGATCTTTCTTTATTCTGTAAGAAGGGCACGAGATGTTCCGGATGGCATAATATAGTACCCAGATCCTGAAGTAGCCAGTAAATTTTCCCCGCAGCAGCAGGCACAGTGTTACAGTACAGTATAATGTAAATGCTGGAATGCATGTGCAGTGTCGCTGGGATGAACCCAGAATGTCCTCACACGAAACTACCACAACCGAAACAGTGTCCATGTAAAATTACTGTACATTAGACTACATGTATATAAGATGGTTGGCGGTAACTTGGCGCTTATGGAGTAAAGGTGAATCGCGGACGAGTATTTTATAGCTCATACAAAATGTTCGTACAAAAAGTAGCCCCCACCCCCTGTCTTAGTTCCAATAAGAATTCCTTATATATTTCAATATTTGAAATATGCCTATAATATTTTAATGCTATAAGAATGCAGATAATTTAAGGTTTAATATATATATACGGTTTCAGTTATCTGTTCTTGACTAAAATCAAAGTTAAATACCTGTTGTTTAATTTGTGTGTTTCGTTCAAACATAATTTATTGACACTGGATTGTTAAAGGAATTGGGCACAAGTTCTTACAACTTTCTATGCCCTCTCCCAATTCTATTTGTATAGTCTTAGTTACGGGTAACTTGAGATCCTTCATCGATATTGAATATTAATTATCTGCAAATCCTTCATCAATACACCTCTGCATGATATATTTTCCTTGACTAATATTTCATGCTTGAAGTCTTCCGTTCCCATTTTAAACAGAGCGTCCAAAAGCAAATCCCAACCCCTCTATGTCTCTGTCAAAAATAAGTAATGTAGAATTAGCCGTAAAACATAAAACAAACGACTAATGCATGTTTCAATCTAATATCATATTCTCACGTAATTTGGTCAAGATTTATGTTTAAAAATGCACGTGCTCCGCTGTAAATGCTGATGACAAGGCGAAGGACTGTGGTTTGTCCCCTGTCGATTGACTCGAGTTCTCGCGTGAGCTTGACGAGACTTCCACATATCGATTCATGTCACATGTGTTGTGTTGATGAAGTAGCGAGGAAATGTGAGGTTTTTACCTGTTTTCTGATCCACAGTGCATGTTAGTGCATATACATTAAACAGACTCCCTAGGCCACTTACAGTAATACACGATGGTATCAGATACGTCAATATCCATTAAAAGAATATTTACAGATTACTTAGATAGCTGGTGATGAAACAGGCACATTTGAGTCATCACATCCACTTAGTGGGACAGAAGAGTACGATGTGTCACTTTATGAGCAATTATCATTTTCAGCTTTCCGGTTTTTACTTAGGTTATGCTTGCGCAACAAGAATGTACATTCCCATTATAAACATCAAGTGCACTTGAAGAAAATCTTTCACTTTTATTTCACTTAAAACAGGACATCCATCAATTATTTATGTATGAACAACATTCATATTTTAAAAATATTAAACTTGGAAAATATCACAGTATACATGTTCAGCGCATCCATGCTAAAACATTACTGTAAATGAAAGTATGTCATTAGCTAAGCATTTGGTTAAAACGTTATAATATATATATGAACAAGTAGCAAGCTTGCTTATTTGCTCGTCAATAACAAATCACCCCATACAATGTACATATGGAAATTAATAACTAGGCCGGGTAATATAAGAATTAGTATGCGGTAAAAAAAAAAAAACAGCCGTGTTCCGGAGCGTGGTGTCACACGTGGGTGTGTCTACATTGAATGCACTGTATTACCTATTTCTTACAGTATCAATGTTTGAAAGAAAACTGAAAACAACTTCCTTTATTTTTATTTTAGGTCTACGGCGGTCCTTGTTAGGTTGCTGCTTGTTGATGTTTTTGGGAACCGGAATCCGCTGTATCACTAGTCACCCCGACTACACGCTGTGGTAAGTATTGTGTTTATTGTACCGGAATCCGCTGTATCACTAGTCACCCCGACTACACGCTGTGGTAAGTATTGTGTTTGGGTACCGGAATCCGGTGTATCACTAGTAACCCCGACTACACGCTGTGGTAAGTATTGTGTTTATTGTCGGGGTTACCGCTGTATCACTAGTAACCCCGACTACACGCTGTGGTAAGTATTGTGTTTATTGTCGGGGTTACCGCTGTATCACTAGTAACCCCGACTACACGCTGTGGTAAGTATTGTGTTTATTGTCGGGGTTACCGCTGTATCACTAGTAACCCCGACTACACGCTGTGGTAAGTATTGTGTTTATTGTCGGGGTTACCGCTGTATCACTAGTAACCCCGACTACACGCTGTGGTAAGTATTGTGTTTATTGTCGGGGTTACCGCTGTATCACTAGTAACCCCGACTACACGCTGTGGTAAGTATTGTGTTTATTGTCGGGGTTACCGCTGTATCACTAGTAACCCCGACTACACGCTGTGGTAAGTATTGTGTTTATTGTCGGGGTTACCGCTGTATCACTAGTAACCCCGACTACACGCTGTGGTAAGTATTGTGTTTATTGTCGGGGTTACCGCTGTATCACTAGTAACCCCGACTACACGCTGTGGTAAGTATTGTGTTTATTGTCGGGGTTACCGCTGTATCACTAGTAACCCCGACTACACGCTGTGGTAAGTATTGTGTTTATTGTCGGGGTTACCGCTGTATCACTAGTAACCCCGACTACACGCTGTGGTAAGTATTGTGTTTATTGTCGGGGTTACCGCTGTATCACTAGTAACCCCGACTACACGCTGTGGTAAGTATTGTGTTTATTGTCGGGGTTACCGCTGTATCACTAGTAACCCCGACTACACGCTGTGGTAAGTATTGTGTTTATTGTCGGGGTTACCGCTGTATCACTAGTAACCCCGACTACACGCTGTGGTAAGTATTGTGTTTATTGTCGGGGTTACCGCTGTATCACTAGTAACCCCGACTACACGCTGTGGTAAGTATTGTGTTTATTGTCGGGGTTACCGCTGTATCACTAGTAACCCCGACTACACGCTGTGGTAAGTATTGTGTTTATTGTCGGGGTTACCGCTGTATCACTAGTAACCCCGACTACACGCTGTGGTAAGTATTGTGTTTATTGTCGGGGTTACCGCTGTATCACTAGTAACCCCGACTACACGCTGTGGTAAGTATTGTGTTTATTGTCGGGGTTACCGCTGTATCACTAGTAACCCCGACTACACGCTGTGGTAAGTATTGTGTTTATTGTCGGGGTTACCGCTGTATCACTAGTAACCCCGACTACACGCTGTGGTAAGTATTGTGTTTATTGTCGGGGTTACCGCTGTATCACTAGTAACCCCGACTACACGCTGTGGTAAGTATTGTGTTTATTGTCGGGGTTACCGCTGTATCACTAGTAACCCCGACTACACGCTGTGGTAAGTATTGTGTTTATTGTCGGGGTTACCGCTGTATCACTAGTAACCCCGACTACACGCTGTGGTAAGTATTGTGTTTATTGTCGGGGTTACCGCTGTATCACTAGTAACCCCGACTACACGCTGTGGTAAGTATTGTGTTTATTGTCGGGGTTACCGCTGTATCACTAGTAACCCCGACTACACGCTGTGGTAAGTATTGTGTTTATTGTCGGGGTTACCGCTGTATCACTAGTAACCCCGACTACACGCTGTGGTAAGTATTGTGTTTATTGTCGGGGTTACCGCTGTATCACTAGTAACCCCGACTACACGCTGTGGTAAGTATTGTGTTTATTGTCGGGGTTACCGCTGTATCACTAGTAACCCCGACTACACGCTGTGGTAAGTATTGTGTTTATTGTCGGGGTTACCGCTGTATCACTAGTAACCCCGACTACACGCTGTGGTAAGTATTGTGTTTATTGTCGGGGTTACCGCTGTATCACTAGTAACCCCGACTACACGCTGTGGTAAGTATTGTGTTTATTGTCGGGGTTACCGCTGTATCACTAGTAACCCCGACTACACGCTGTGGTAAGTATTGTGTTTATTGTCGGGGTTACCGCTGTATCACTAGTAACCCCGACTACACGCTGTGGTAAGTATTGTGTTTATTGTCGGGGTTACCGCTGTATCACTAGTAACCCCGACTACACGCTGTGGTAAGTATTGTGTTTATTGTCGGGGTTACCGCTGTATCACTAGTAACCCCGACTACACGCTGTGGTAAGTATTGTGTTTATTGTCGGGGTTACCGCTGTATCACTAGTAACCCCGACTACACGCTGTGGTAAGTATTGTGTTTATTGTCGGGGTTACCGCTGTATCACTAGTAACCCCGACTACACGCTGTGGTAAGTATTGTGTTTATTGTCGGGGGTATCCGCTGTATCACTAGTAACCCCGACTACACGCTGTGGTAAGTATTGTGTTTATTGACGGGGGTATCCGCTGTATCACTAGTTACCCCGACTACACGCTGTGGTAAGTATTGTGTTTATTGTCGGGGGTATCCGCTGTATCGCTAGTAACCCCGACTACACGCTGTGGTAAGTATTGTGTTTATTGACGGGGGTATCCGCTGTATCACTAGTTACCCCGACTACACGCTGTGGTAAGTATTGTGTTTATTGTCGGGGGCGTGTCCGGGTGAAGGGTATACATACTTTTTTATTAATTAACACGTGTATTAATGTCATCATATTATGACTAAGGGAGACAACTCTAACCGATGCAGAGGAAAATGATTTTTTTTTTTATTTTTCACAATCATTTGATCAGGTTTATGGGACATACATTATTTTGTTCTCTCTATAAAACGCTAGTACGATTATATGCGAACATTTGTACATGTATATTAAATTCATTACAAAAATGTCAAACATGTGTTAAAATTGGGATTTAACACTATAAAGAGACAAATATCGGGCATTTGAATCTGTTTTGACATGTTTGAGTAACACAAGTCAGAACTTGAAATGATTACTTGGTAAAATGACATTATTTTTTGACTATTCGTTATTTCGTTTGCAAAGGTTTTTTTATTGAAATTGATGATATGTCTGAACTGATTGAGTTACGCATGTTTCTGTATAATTCTCGCTTGGATCTTATTCCTGTGATCTGATGAGGTCATTCGTAAGTAAATCAGCTATAACACATAAACTGAAATACCCCTTTCCATCGGTTATCAAATCTCCCTTGCTTGTTGGTAGGACAATGAACGCGGGCGCAGTTCTTAACGGTGTAGCAGGGACGGTACCGTTTGCGGGTCCACCTCTTCTAGCCGCTTTGTGGTTCCCGCCTGATCAGCGAGCCACCGCCACCGCCACATCGAGTGTGTTTAACTATGGCGGGGTAGCAGTCGCCTTCATCTTTGGTCAGTGAATGACGTCATATGCGTCTATGTCTGACGTCCTATCGGTCAGTGTCATGTCTGTGAATGTCGAAATAAATTGATTTTTGTTTTGACACAAAATACTGTGATAGGTTCGTTATTATGTAATATGTAGCAGATGTGTATTTTAATTTGGTCAAAATATTCAGTATGTTTTTGCACCTGTCATAAAACTTGAATTAAAAATGACGGAACTACACCATCCTAATACTCGACAGGTTCCGCTCACTTTCGCTGTCTTCAGTGAGCGAAAGTGAGCGAACGTGAGCGAAAGTGAGCAGCGAAAGTGAGCGGAACCCCTAGAGTATCGAGGATGGAATTACTCGTGCGATTACATGTATTTCTGGAACTACGACAAGGGTACTTGCTTAGACCTTGTTTATTTAACCTCAAATATAAATTTATGTAATTCAAATATATAATGCAGGTCTAACAAAAAAAACTTGGAAGGATTGCTATATAGCTATTGTTGGTGTTGTTATCGTCACGGTAAATTATTATCGAATTTAATATTTTCTGTCTAACAGGGCCACAGCTGGTGTCATCCCCACACTACAGATACGAAACAGACAACAGGTAAACTCGTCCACGTAAATCGTACATTAAGCTCGTTCAAAGACTGCCTTAGTTCTCAAATTTCGTTCAAATATTTGTATATTATGTGTGTTAAATACAGAACAAGTAATTGTTTGGCTAGTTTTACAGCAAAATGCAACTGCTTCAGTTTCAAAAGAGTGGTTTATTTTCCCAAACTGATGAAATAAAAGAGGAATATCTTCCGAATTTCAATAAAAAAAATGCTATATTTTCCCAGTTGATGTAGGAACAGGCTGGTGTAAAATTAAGGTAGAAAAAACACTATAATTTTGTTATTGTTGAATGATATTTCTGCGACTAAATCATTTGAAGATTTTCAATATTCAAAATGTCTTTAGCACAATGCTAAAGTGCTGATTATGATTTTGTTTGACTTTTAACAGAACTGAACTCAGTCTGACGCTTACAACAGAGGCCACCATTAATAGAACTGGTAAGTATCATAGTGTTAGTTCTATATACACAATCAACTTGGCTCACATGTCCCTCATTCGGTGCCAAATGTTTGATATATTTTTTTTTTTTTATTTTATAATAATTGTGAAACAACTTAATGCAACTTATGTTAACCACTCTTGTTAGCCCGGATGTCAGCGCGGGGAGGTCTTAATGTGGGAGGAAACCAGAGTAGCCGGAGCTGCATGCCCCCTTACTTTGCATCACCTTTATATCTTTCTTAACACAGCTTAAATGAGACAGTCGAAATCTAATATAGGGTAACCTATCTATCGGAGTTCCAAGCGGTGCTTTTTTGCTATATTTTCTATATTTTTATATGGACGCTCCACGATCTGATGTATCGCTGCTATAGTATATTACATAGATGGAAACTGCTGGGATAAAATCCACCTCATACCAGACTTAGAGACTAGAATACAGGGACTAAACAGTGCTAGCCATATCTTTGTAGTGTTTGTAATTACTTTCTGACTTAAGTTTTGTTGAATACGCTTCATGCATATCATCACCCTTCTTTAAATACTTGTATATGTTGAACACCTTAAAATACTGCTAGTTATTTAGAAAATGATTTCTGTGAATTATTGTCAAAATTCGTTCTCTCCTCTGCAGTTCTCACAAACTTCGACACCCTGGAGAGCGAGATTATGCGATTGATGTACATAGGTAAGTACTAATTATATTTAGAATATGAAAAAAAAAATGTTACGTGAATCTATATTCAACGTGTTTCGTTTATTGGCAAAGTCCATATAGATTCAATATAGTGACTGAGTGCTAGTTGTTGATTGATATTTCTCATTTTCCACGCTGCAACAGATTGCTAATTGGAACGCTTTTTTTTCTTTTTCTTTTGCGGTTTTCGGTGCTGTGATTGAGTGCCTATATCGTCCTTCACGTTAATGCATGTACCGAGCTTTCCATGTGCGTATTACATGTTTGGTATTTCCTGTGTTGTAATAGAGTGTGGATATGCGGGCCTACTGTTACTTCTGGTGCTGATCTACTTCCCCGACAAGCCCGCCCTACCCCCCAGTACCACCGCCTCCATGGAGAGGATTGAGTACAAGAAAGCCCTATTGAAGATGAGCAAGTGAGTCAACAGACAAAACATGTAGTTGTCGACATTGATTGATAAATCCTTTTCCTGTATCATCACCATTGACATCAAACGTTCTCCAACTTTTACATAAAAAAAATCCACAGAAAATGTTGAGTTCTATATCAACTGACGTTCTGAGACCAGATGTCATTTTGACATGGTACATGACGTCATAAAATTGACATTTTGGTCCGTCCATTACAGTCGGTAATCAGTATATGAAATCGCCTTACAGAAATAAACCATTATATATCAAACTTTTTTTGTAAACTGCTTTAATTTGAAAGTATACCCTTGGTCATCCTTGATATGCAGGGGTTACCTCACTCTGGCTTTCTGCACCCCTGGAATATGCCATAGCAAAATCAAAAGTCCAGTGTGAACCACCTTATGGACGAGACGAGAAGACTAGTTTAAACCTTTAATGTACATCAAAAGAATCTTGCAGTCGCGTAACGGTAAAACTTACTGGCTCTGAAATGGGGCGTCGCTCCTGTGTAATCTTCAAAGGACAAGTATCAGCCTAGCTGGTTTTGTTTACATGACACCAATCAAAAAGCTAGCCGTGTGCCTTCGATTTTGCTATGACATATTCCAGGGGTGCAGAGAGCGAAAGTGAGCGTAACCCCTGGCATCTTATACTTTTTCCTGCTCTCTACAAACATGTTCTTGCCTAATGTGTACGTAGTTCAGATTATTCCGTAGTTACTGTTGCATTTGCAAAGTAATTGGCGTTTTTTACTACCTCCCCGGATAAGAGGTGGGAGACATAGATACTTATAAGTACATGTACTTCTACCGAGAAAATGCACTGCGTTGTAACAACATGTTTCTAATCCATTTGTCTGTGCATGTTACAAAATGTTTAAATTAGGTTTGCACTTGTAGGATAAAAAGTCTACCTTCGGCTGTAGAATTTTGGCCCATGGCCTCGGTTCTCCACCTAATTCTACACCATCCGGTATCGTTTCCCTATGACACATACATACATATGATAGATTATATCACTCTTTACTCTTGATCAGGTGATATATTGAAGAATAGACGCAGTAGCAATTTGTTAGTCACCCAAAGTTAGCCAATTACATATGTATCAATGAAACTAGTCTACAGAGAGGACCATATCTATATGTTTTATAACTAATTGTTATGATGGTGTTTCAGGAACGGTAACTTGTGGTTGATCGCATTAGCGTACGCAGTACCGGCCGGGGTTTACGGCGTGTACGGGTCTGTGTTTGACGTCATCCTGAACCCTGTTGGAGTCGCCCAGGTGAGACATTTGTACCTGTATTTATTTCTTACCACTCTGTAAAATTGATCGGTTAATTCTAGACATAATTACGGGTGTCGCATGTAATGGTTAATATTTTAGACATATTAACGGATGTAATGGTTAATATTTAAGACATATTTACGGATGTAATGGTTAATATTTAAGACATATTTACGGATGTAATGGTTAATTTTGGACTTAATTACGGGTGTGGCCTGTCATGTTAGAACACCTACTCTTCGAGAGCATGTGGATTTATCTGCATTTTGTTGTTGGGGCCCCTAAGAGGAAAGTTACGGGTTTGTCCCCTGACCGAGACAAACCAAAGTCCATAAAATGGTACCAACAGTTCTTTGCTTGACGTTCAGCTTGAAGCAGAACAGGATCCATATGACAACGGCTGCGGCAAGGACAGACGTAAACTGAAAAAAATATCAAGCCAACCAAACACCCGTTCTTATCTTATCAGACACCTGGAGTTCCGATTTGGTCTGTTGACGCTGATATGGTGTATTATGTATTTGTGTAGTGATCCTTAGGTATAATTGTTTCCCTTTCAATTTTCTGTCTAGAAAGAAAACAAATAACGTATGATCTTAAAAACTCAGATCGAGGAAAGAAGACAAAACTCTGGTGTGTGCTAGGTGCATCTTTCCAGATACAAAGTGGTAGACTCTGTTGTTGGTGGATTTTCAGTCCTGGATGTTTGCTGTGACCATGATAGCCCCGGGGCAGCTATCTCTTTGGAGTAGTAGAACGGTTCATAATATAACTCTTTACAAATATGTCATTTGATATTAACCAGTGCTCTTCTAAAGCCTCAAATTCACCTGTCCCTCTGTCTCAACAGTAGTTTAGACAATTTGGATGTCCAACCTTTTGGCCCCTAACATCACCGATGAGTCCTAGAAGGACGAAACAGCTGTATGATGCAGTGTTATTCATGTTTAGCTTACTGTTTCTATTACCAAATGTTAGCGATGCAGTCACCTGTGTGTGTTACATTTATCTCTATTTACAACAGCTTTAATCTAACGTGTTTTCTTTTGTTCCAGTCGGAAGCTGGCTGGATTGGCTTCTACTCCACCATTGCAGGATGTGCGTCTGGTCTCGTTATAGCTAGGTAAGCTTTGTGTTTTATCTATTAAACACTGTCTTTACTCATGGACATTGCTATTTAACAATGATCGGTAACCATGCGATGTCACAGTGAAAAGGACATTGTAACATGATGTTGATATCAGGTGTTTCGTTAGCCATGAATATATTTATCATAAACTTTGTTTATTGCAATTAAAACGATGTTCAGTATGATTGGACACATGCTCTTGTCTCGTATCTAACACTTAATTACACTCATGTAGTGGTGAATTACATATATTTTAACTTTATTTCACTTACGCAATTTTCGAAGAAATATTGGTATAAGAAACCGTTTATTAAAAAAATGTTTTTGTCAGGAAGCACAAGGTTAAATCGATATGTACCCAGTTTGAAATAATATCATGCCTCGCTTATATTGATCACATGACGTGGATGTAAAACAATTTGTTTGTTGTCTTGGAAACAAAGGATCATGTTTCCCAAAAAAAAGGGCAAGATTTGTATAATATAAACTATTTTTTGTTCCAGGTTTGCAGATATGTTTATGAAGCACATGAAAGTGTTCCTTATAGGTCTGTTCATACTGGCGACAGGATCGTTCGTATGGCTAACTCTTCTCTGTAACCAAACCATCCCATTCAGTATCGGTGAGTGATTTTTTTACGGCAATTAGGCGTGATTAATATTTGTAATAAAATCAAAAGTCCTCACAGAATTTAAAAAAAAGGAAAAGAAAACACTCATATGATAAGCGACATGGTTGCTTGTTAAATATTATAAATGTTTCAAGAATGTCAAAAGTAGAGGTGAAAATGTCGGATAAAGTGAAAAATATTTGTCTTCAATTAAGAGCCATTAGATTTTCTTTTATTGCTTTCTTATATCTTTAAAATGCAATATTTTTGAAGAAAACTTAAATATGGGTGCAAAGTTTGACGCCATGATATTTCAGTGACGTCATATGTTAAAAGCATTTTCTCTCAAATGAAATGGTTTGTTTGGATTTGATAAGTTGAGTGTAGTGCAAACGTTGATACATTTACTCTCCCTGTAGGAATTTTTAACATGAATCAGCTATCTTATTTTTGAAAACATTCACTTGGTGATATGCATCCTCGTCATCAAGTCGAGATACTCACTGGTATCTTATATTCTTTATCAGTCTAGCTTTATGCGTCATCGGTCGAAATTCTCAGTAATATTCTATATTTTTTATCAGTCTAGCTTTATGCGTCAAGCACTCGAGATTCTCGGTAATATTCTATATTCTTTATCAGTCTAGCTTTATGCGTCAAGCACTCGAGATTCTCAGTAATATTCTACATTCTTTATCAGTCCAGCTGTACGCGTCAAGCATCATGGGTGGGATGTTCCTAAATGGCTGTATACCACTGTTCTACGAGCTAGCGTGCGAAGCGTCCTACCCAGTGTCGGAGGGACTTGCCGGAGGGTTCATGACCTGGCTGAACAATCTGTTTGGAATACTGTTCCTCCTGGCCCTGCTTATTCCTGGTATAGGTAAGTGAAAAGAGATTTGATGCTCTGTTCAAGCCATTGCAGCTATAGGCAAGTTAGCAGACGTGCATTTTTCCTGTCCACACTCATTCCTCTGATAAAGGTAAAGATATTTGATTATCATGTTCCAGTGAATATCCTCTATAGTTGAGTAAACAAACGTTTATTTCTCCCGGTAAAACTCATTCACTAGTAAAAGTGAATAAAAACAAGTTTGTTTTTTCAAGTTTGAGCAATATCCGCTATAGGTTAGTAAACATATGTATATTTCTCATGGTCCCATTCGTTTCCTATATAGGAGAGTGAAGACGTATTTGATTCTTAACTTTCATCGAACCCCTTTTAAGCTTTACAAGTGAGTGACACAGACGCGTAATTCTCCTGGTCGATCTCATCCGCAGTATAGTTAAGGATGTGCTTGTTTCTGCAAGTCGGAGATCGAGAAAAGAATACACCTGTTTGTACCCACTGCGGGTACATATATATCTTAAAAGATGACTAATCTCAGAACCCCCCCCNCATGAAACTGACCATAATAAATCTGCTGCACTTATTGCAATGTTTGGGATCTCTGACTTCCTTGCTTGGCACATCCTCGATACTCCAGGGGTTACGCTCAATTCCGCTCTCTGCACCCCCTGTTATAGTAAAATTGAAGGCACAAAGACAGCTGTTTGATTGGTTTAGGGATAGAAAACCTGACCAATCGCTAGGCTGATGCCTGTCCTTTGAAGATGACGAATGGGAGACACTCGACTTCAAAGTCAGTCAATTATTCCGTTACGCAACTGCGAGAGTCTTTTGATGTACATCAAAGGATCGAACTAGTCTTCTTGTTTCCAGGGGTGCAGAGAATGAAAGTGAGCGTAACCCCTGGATATCAAAGATGTGCTTGGCAATACTCCACTCTTGGCTTTAGTGTTGAACGCCGGCCGGGACATACCAAAGTCCTTTAAAAATGGTAGTTGTTATTCCCTGCTTAACTCTCAGCATTTAGAGAAATGACAACAACTGGTTCACCCGTTGTCAGTATAATGCAGCCTGGCGGAATACTGTGTTGGGTGCCTTCGGCATGGTACTTCAATGAAATAGCACTTTAAAGTCGACATCAGATCCATAGCATCATAGTATATATTTAATATTGTTTTATTCATTAAAACAAGCTTTTTCGAGTTTGCTTGTATGACAAGTTAGTATTATATATCATAGTATAAGGCATTGATAATGGTTTTGTTTTTTAATTTACAATCTTGTTTATTTCAGGTACGGCTTGGATGAATTTCTGCCTGGTCGGAAGTGTGGGTCTGGGTCTTTTAGTGTTATTCGTATTTCCGGAGAAGTACACGCGGACAGACATTGATATTACGGTCACTGCGGATGGGACTATGGATGTCCAAACGTCTGTACACCAAGTGACCACTACATACACCTGAGGTCAAGGTCACCTTGGCAGGTCATGACCAGTTAACATTGACCTTAAACTCTCCACTCATGTAGTATTCATTATAAGGTGTGTAAATGTTATTTATGTAATTCTGATTACCGTGGAATGCTTGCATTGCGTAAGGAAAACCTTTTTCTCTGTGCGAAACAAATATTTATTTGCTATCATTAGGGATTCAGACACACATCTTTATGCAGTGATTATTTACTGAATATAGTATGACGATTGATGTGCAAATAGTCTCCAAGGGAATTTCATATCGAAATATTACATTAGTTTGAAAATGCTTATGATGATTGCAATACTATACTTGTACTATTTGTACACTACACAGTTTTACCCCGAGCAAAAATAGGTAATTCCGATAAGCAGAAAAAATTCAATTCGACGAACTATGTTTTGATTTTCTTTCAAGATCTCCATGTACCGGTATATTTAATTAATATATTAAAGACAACAGTGGTCCGAATTCGCCTATTTTCTCCCTAATATCATAAAAGATCATTAGTTATTAATTTTCTAATCAGAGTGATATTAATTGAATAACATGGAAACGATTCAATTAGATAATTTGTAATAAGGAACGATTGTTTAGAATTATATATGACAGGAGACAGGAATAGGGGAGGTTATGATGAAGTTAACATGTCCACAATGTGAGTATGACAGGGAGATTACCCGTTCCTAGGGCTGACGTCTGTGATATTACAATAAAAAATGTTGTACTAGACCCTGCGAATTTTCCTTCCGTTAGTAGTGTTGCAACTGGTTGTCTAAAATCGAAGAGAAATAGTGCAATACCTGCTTGAGATTATCTCAGTATTTTTGTGAAGTGTTTATCATGTGATATATCTTGATGTTAAGCAGTTATTTAGTCTATTGTCGTAGATATTGTTGATCTTGACCAGTGACTGCATGTGATCATTATGATACCTGTCAATTATATGTATAATCTGTATGAGAGAAGAAGTACATTGAACGTTGGTAGTATAACTACATATAAACCTGAATCTTAGTTGTAGAAATACTAGGAAATCCGTAGTTAATGTTTGTAATATTTGTTGACAACACTGTGATATGATAACTACGACTGTAAAGATATAGGTTGTTGTAATAAAAATGTCGAGACTGAGCATATACTACTGAGGGATAGTTGTTTTTGTACATGTATGATATTTACTTATGTTTTAAATTGTGTTGGTTTCTCCAATGATGAAAATATCACGGTGCTACGGCTAAAGTGTTAAGAGTAAAAGAAATTAAGAATTTGATAAAACTTGATTAAACACAAATGATATGTGCACATTTGATATAAATACAGTTTCGCACTTGGTTCACTTAGCAATTAGTTCTTATAATGAATACAGTTCACATGTCGCGTGATCTATGTTGTAAAAATCGATACAGTGAAAACAGTGATATTTCCCGTATTTCATATATTTTCTCTTTAGCATTTACATACTTATCAGAAGATGTTTATTGTCAGTGAATTGGTGAGAATCAAGTCTGTATGCTAAACGTATTTTTCGGTAATGTAAAAATGAAAATCTCAACCACTCTCTCCTAAGATGAAGCTTAAATACCAATTCTTCTCTCTATTCTGTGTACCAGATTCATTGTTATAAAGTCATTGGTATGGTATTAAAGTGTGAAAACCTGTATAAATAATCAACGATATTGAGCAAAATTATATTATGAGATGAACTATGCAAACCGTGCTATTGAATGTGTTAAATTCTCGAGTTTTCTCTTTTTTAATGTACAGTAGATATCCAGTTGAGCGCGTGTACACTGACTAGAGGGTGGAACTACATTGTATCTATGATTGCTCAGCAGGAGTTATCACCTCATGACCCGACCAAAATAGACAGTTTTTATATTCACAGCTGTTTTCAATGAATGTATATTCATTACTATTTTATTGATTCAGATCAACTGACAAAAAATCATTATCAAAAAGTAATCACGATTAATTGATTCATACAAACTAACTGCCTGAAATTTGCATATGCTAAGGTTCACACCGCCCACATCTACTGTTGATGACGTCTAATGAAAGTGTGTCATTCGCTGATAATTTGCATAGCTCCTACCACTTGAACTGTTATCAACGTTTTGGAAACTTGTCACGTTCTATAGTCAGGCTTCGAGATTATAACTCTAGTTTACGGAAACACTCGTTATTAAGTGAATGTCGGCGTAGACTGTAAATATATATTTGTATTACAAAATGGTTGTCTTTGTGATACATGCTAACGTAAATAATACTCTTACATATACTCATAGTTTTGAACAAGCGAGTCTGTGCTAAAAATGATGAGTAAATATAGGGATTATGATTTCGAATTAGTTTAGGAATGATAAGCGAGTAAGAGCGATGTTGACATCCAACGTATACATATGTAAACTTTGGTGACATTTGGTTCGTGTGTAATTGTTTAAGTGATGTTTGTGCGGAAAAAATGTGTTTGTATCAGAAACAACAGACTGTTTTCCACAGTGATATTAGACGGTTAAATAACCAGATTAAGGGATAAGACAGAACATGTGTAGTGTCCCGTGACTAGGTGTGTAGTGTCCCGTGACTAGGTGTGTAAAGTCCCGTGACTAGGTATATTTCCATAGGATTCTAATAAAAAGCAAGGAATTTCCAAATTCTGAAATTATATTTTAACGAAGAAAAAAAACAGTCCAAGCAAAAATTCTGAAAACCAACAGAGAGTCTTTCTATCCTGGATTTAGTTATCTAGTCAAAATATCAAGTCCAAGTAGACTAAATAACACATATCCCGTTATCAGTTACTTGACGATATCATCCTGGTAATCGGATGAGAGGATGGCAGATCATGTAACTAGACCGACCGTGGCCACCCAGTGTATTTATCGAAGGAAACAACAGTGTTTGTGATAGTGAGAGAGTTGCCATTGTTACCACATCAATACCTTTTGTGACGTCATTAGTTTTATTGTTGACTCAATTTGTTGTTGTAAGAACTGTTCGAAATAGCTTAATCTATCAAAATATAAATATAAATAATGAGTATTTTAGCAAATTTCACACATTGCTATTGATGACAAACTTAATAAAGCCCGTGCTAAAACAGTCATTGCTTAAAAAGTCATATCATGACATTCCTATCTATAGAACAAGACAATGTCGTTACCTTTTTGAAATGTTTATTTCTAAAAAACGAAGTTTCACAAAGAAGCAATATAACAATTAGCTTGCGGGGTATAAATTAATTGCAAAACGTGTAAAGAAACGGGAGTGTATTTAATAAGTGCTATCTTGTATAAACGAACTCCGGGGATTGTTTACCACAATACGGCATATGTCAGGTCTGCATTCATTCATAAAATAGAGCAGAAAATCACGTGACGTCATTTGGAAGTACACACAATGCGTGTAGCTTCCATATAAGGTCGTCCCTTGAACTTTTAAGCAGATTTCTGTTTTAAAGCTGAAGCTCACATTTCACTGGATAACCGACGGCACATTACAAGGAAACAGTTTGTACATTTTATATTAACAATATTTACGTGATAATGAAATATTCAGACCAGAAAGCAAAGTAATGTGGATTTTTACTTGCCTTAATCATTGTTTAATATGATTTAATCCTGTATTGTTTCTCGAATTATTGTAGTATTGCTGTTCGACATCGTGCTATACTTATATCAACGCACGACTAATCTGAGTTAAAAACGGGATTCGGTTGGCTGGAAAAGTGTTACATGAAAAATCCTCATATCACTTTAGCGGATGTGATCACATTTCATTAACTATAGGAAGTATCCTAGTGCCATACGGACCGACTTGTTGTCAGGGACAATATGCTTTAAATGGCAAATACATGTATACTGAACATATACTTCAAAAATAAAAGGGGGAAATTCATAATACAAAGACTTGGCATAATAATTGCTTTTGCAGATAAAAAAATCCGATTCTGGTCCTTAAGAAAGAACTTGTTTTGCAAGTACAAAAAAAGCAATTTGAATACGTTTCTTTTTCCTAATGTTCGGGAACGATTAAACTGTAAAGAAACAAATATGTTGTAAACAGCGTTCGACCTTTCCAGTGTTGTCGCACATTCTACAGCACTAACAGTATTGAACTCTCTTCCAGCGTTGTTTGATACATATATATATGACGTCAGCTTCTCCCTGTTATGTCATATGATATTGCGACGTCATCTTTCAGCCAGCAGTAAACAGTGCACGTGACGTCGCCAGATACCTGGGACATTTGTGATGTCTCTGATCTTAACCTTCCACCATTACTGATCGGGCAGAGTCGGACGCGTGGGAAGATGGCGGATACGTGTCACGTGACTCCGCCTGAGATTTCTTTGACTTGTTCGCCAGCTTCTTGTTGATGTCTATAAGAGCATGGTTCATGGCTTCCTCCGCCTGCTTGTCACCTGCAAGAAGAAGAAAATGTTGACGTTTAATTTAAATATGATATTAGATAGCTGTAACTTACTTCATTGCATCATTGTTTACCTCCGTGGCAAACGAACCAAACAATTTAACTTGTCCTAACGACTGACTGTAAAACGCAAATCTGTTTGCATATTAGAATTAACATACAACGTGAAACATTGAGTTATGTTTCGCATTAATTTTTCTGAACTTGTCACAATATTACAGCTTACAGCTGCATTCTTTTTTTTATAAGACTTTTGTTTAACTAGTAAGGACACGAATTAAAAAAATGCATTTTATTTTGGCAAAATAAGATATGAAATATGTACATTTCTTCATGTATGCTAAGCACCTTTCGCTATTAAATGACATGGACATGTTTATAGGACCTAAATAGTGCATGTATCCAGGTACAAGAAAATATAATTTTCAGCACTTGCTTTCGAAATGAATACATGTATAATACAAATTAAACACAAAATAGCATTTTCTATTTTTTAAGAATTTATATCGAGACAGATCTCAATGAAGCCTATCTGGGTTGCAGATAAACCTTTACGATAAGAAGGAAACCAAAAGCAGACATGCAATAAACGAGACAGATGAATAATTGAAATACAGTAAAGAAGAACTACGGGTAAACTACAAGATAAAACTAAGACTTCAGTCCTTCGTCAGTTTATGAATTCATCCGATTCATTACTGAAGATCAATTAAACTTATCATAAATAAACTCACCCAATGCCTGCGCATGCGTCAGGCCGGTTTCAAATGAGTTGTAGGCATCCTTGTACTTCTTCATATTTACTGAATAGAGGAGATGTTATTAGAAATTATATGATATAGTACATTATACAAAGGACTGTCACATTGCTCTGATCAAAGTCTTCATTGACCCTATTTTAACATCTTATTAAGCAATGTCATGTATTTATTATAGTATAAATTGATACGAGAAAATGCTTAAATATCAATACGAATATCTTAAAAAAATTACAAACTAAACCGAATTACTGATGATTTTTTGTAAAAAATCTTCCAAACAATTACAAGGTTTTTAGTAAATAAATGATTGACAGCATGATCAATCTGATTGTTGTCCATAATAAACTCACACCAAATCTTGGTCCTACTTCTCAAAGGACAAAGAGTATTTGTGAATTTATCGGACTCGGCTTCACATAAATACTGATCATAGTATACGTTACTGCTGGACTCACCTTCAGACAGACCAATCAGGACGCATGCCTGAAGCTGTAGTCGCTTGTCGTCTGATTCCTGTCCAGTTTCCAGTGACTTCCGGCCAGCGTCACGGGCATATGAGAAGTTATTTAGCAAGAGGAAGCAATTTCCTATGTCATGGAACAAAGCAGACGATTCGCCTGCAGTCTTACATAACGGGGCTTTCATAGTGTACCTTAAATATACATACAGTAGTCATGCATAGAGAGGCGTTCTTAGTATGGTTTTGCTATTATCATGTATCATGTGGATCGTAAATAAGACTTGTCAAAATGCATTTGTCAAAAGTTCCCAAAAAACACACTTTAAGACGTAGTTGAAGGTTTGTTTATATTTGAGAATATGATAAAAACAATCATTTACCATATTCTCAAATATCATTGTTCTCATGAGTCGTCTACGGACAAATAATCATATGTTGCAAATAAATCAATTTACTTTACTTGAATTTCTGCATTGAGCAACTGATTTTCTAAATAGGTGTTTATCTTTTTTTTCTGGTACAAAAAAAAAAAAAAGTGATGTCTCATTATAGTTATAGTATCTGGTAGCATCAAGCATAAGTTGGTGAATCAAATGGACCGTTCGGAACCTTATTAGATTTTGGTTGCAACGATATAACAAGTTCTAGTAGATAACTTACATTTCCAGTGCCCGGTTATATTTCCCCTGTAGCATGTGTGTTCGACCAAGGTTCCCGAGGGCCCTGTAACGGCACGCCATCACATCGCTGGAAATGTAATGTATTTTTCCTTTTGTTGAATTTGGGCAATGCGGGTTAACTCAGATGAACGATTATTGGACAATTACACAACCGTAAGACATATGATAGCATTAAGGTCAGATTTCAAGTTTACATATCGAATTATGATTCGATTCTAGAAAAAACGTATTACAAGATAAAATGAATTGACATCCGTTACGGAGTACATATTAACAGATGAGCACATTACAAATTTGGCCAACTTACAGTGTATGTATTCAAAAACAGTTAACAGAAACTTCGATCAACGCAATCAAATTTTAGCGCGAAATACAGTTTACAGTTTACATTAAATTGAACCTTGCTATCATTGTTCCCACAAACAAGCAGAGAATTACATATTCTTTATAGAAACATGATAGAAAATCCACCAGCAGAACATAAAGTTGATCGTGTGTGTAAATAACACATAAATTAAAAAGAAAACCTTGATTACCTTTTCTTAATGTTGAAATTTGAAATGCTACAGTAACATACGTACTATGCAACTGAACGAATAAATGTTTTAATTAAAAGTGGCGCCAATTAAATTCTTTTTCATACTGAGGTAAATAATAGTTTGTTTTTCTTGAACATATTTAATGAATAATTAAGTTCATGTTATAGTATAATTTATTTACCTACATAAACAAACACAATAGCATGACCGTTACCATTTCTCGCCGATTTTCAGGTCTATCGTGTGGTGTTTCAGTGCCCGTGTGAAATCACCAGCTTGTACCGCCACGTTTCCAAGGTAACTGTTAAACAAGCCAGTCAGTTCAGATTTCTCTGGAACGTTAGCCTCGGAATATTTCGCCAAAAGGTCCAGTCCAGACTCGCATTTCTTGACGGTGTCCGCAAATTTTCTTTGTGCATACACTGTATGTAGTAGAATATAATATTATCAGGTAGTTTATAAACAAAGTGCATTATTGTACAAGCAAATGAGCTTGTTCGTGTTTATAATTGTCTCATTTGATTTGCGATGTTGATAAGCATCAGAGCGCTTCAAAGTCCTATCTCGTTAGCTTATAAGCTGTACTCTGGTTATGATGTTCCTTAACATGACAAATTCAACTTCTCGCTCAAATGTTTACTGAAGCTATTTTCACTACAAAAAAACTTATCTATTATCCTGTTGCATATCCATTAGAAATTAATTGAACCAGCAAATATGAAAGGAAGCCCATACTTTTTCAAAACGCTTTCTAATAACATATTAATAACAAATTGCTGAGGATTTTGTAAAACGCTTGGGCGTGTGCTCCGAGCTGTCATGGTTTCGCCTAATCCGCGAAATCTTCTTAATGTTACTTTCATCAACACTTACGTGATAGAATTACATCTAATTCTTTTCTGAGATAATCCGTCACAGCATGGCTGATAGATTTGGTTTCTTCCTCCGTTTGCTTTGAATCGGTCAAGTCTTCATTTTCTTCTGCGATTTCTGTCATTCGTCGTGTACCAAGATCCATGCTGGGATTATGAGTTTCAAACTTAAATTCCAGTGATGTCGGATCTGGCTTCGGTTTCGTTCCCTTATCAGGCTTGTTGAGTCCAAGCCTTGATTTGATTGTCTTAGTTTTCCAGCTCATTCCGGAGTCTCCAGATTTCCATGTTGTCTTTGAATCACCAGTCCGAGCTGTTCCGAGTGTATCTACCGACAAGGAACTTCCACTAAATCTACTCGCTCGCGATTTCTGGAGAGGGGGTGGAGGCGGAAGTGGACCAAGGCGATTCCAGTAATGGTACCGATCGTACAGAAAGCTGACAGCATCCTCTGCTTTGTCTTGTATAGGACTTCCCATACCCCCCACAGCTGAAAACAACAACCAACAGGATTAAAACTGGAGTCTTGCATTCAAAACTCATATCCCGGATTACGACCTCCTTCATGATATCACTTTTCTATATCAGAGGCTCTGAGTGTGTAAATTGTACCAATTCCCATTTCTTATTAGGTAATAGCAACATCGATTTATCAATTTTTGTTCCAAAATATTTTGTTATATGTATCTTCTGTACCTTAATCATTTATTGATAGATGTGAAGTATATTTACAATAGAAAGTTTAAGTTCAGTGCGAACCAGTTGCAGGCCCTATGAGTTGACGATGAAATACATCACAACTTAAACAGAAGATATAGTATGAGAAAGGGACGTTAGAATCAAAGGAAATATCATTGGCCGAGTGATACTCTTTTTGCGTATCGGCAAAAAGATATGATAAGTCGATGAAAGACCCCACGAAAAGGACGGAACATGTTATTTCATATAATTAAATTATCAAGTTTTACAGTTATCATTGTTATAAATAAGCCTACTGTATTTTTTTTTTTTTTNTTCCGCGACTAGGTGTGTAGTGTCCCGTGACTAGGTGTGTAGTGTCCCGTGACTAGGTGTGTAAAGTCCCGTGACTAGGTATATTTCCATAGGATTCTAATAAAAAGCAAGGAATTTCCAAATTCTGAAATTATATTTTAACGAAGAAAAAAAACAGTCCAAGCAAAAATTCTGAAAACCAACAGAGAGTCTTTCTATCCTGGATTTAGTTATCTAGTCAAAATATCAAGTCCAAGTAGACTAAATAACACATATCCCGTTATCAGTTACTTGACGATATCATCCTGGTAATCGGATGAGAGGATGGCAGATCATGTAACTAGACCGACCGTGGCCACCCAGTGTATTTATCGAAGGAAACAACAGTGTTTGTGATAGTGAGAGAGTTGCCATTGTTACCACATCAATACCTTTTGTGACGTCATTAGTTTTATTGTTGACTCAATTTGTTGTTGTAAGAACTGTTCGAAATAGCTTAATCTATCAAAATATAAATATAAATAATGAGTATTTTAGCAAATTTCACACATTGCTATTGATGACAAACTTAATAAAGCCCGTGCTAAAACAGTCATTGCTTAAAAAGTCATATCATGACATTCCTATCTATAGAACAAGACAATGTCGTTACCTTTTTGAAATGTTTATTTCTAAAAAACGAAGTTTCACAAAGAAGCAATATAACAATTAGCTTGCGGGGTATAAATTAATTGCAAAACGTGTAAAGAAACGGGAGTGTATTTAATAAGTGCTATCTTGTATAAACGAACTCCGGGGATTGTTTACCACAATACGGCATATGTCAGGTCTGCATTCATTCATAAAATAGAGCAGAAAATCACGTGACGTCATTTGGAAGTACACACAATGCGTGTAGCTTCCATATAAGGTCGTCCCTTGAACTTTTAAGCAGATTTCTGTTTTAAAGCTGAAGCTCACATTTCACTGGATAACCGACGGCACATTACAAGGAAACAGTTTGTACATTTTATATTAACAATATTTACGTGATAATGAAATATTCAGACCAGAAAGCAAAGTAATGTGGATTTTTACTTGCCTTAATCATTGTTTAATATGATTTAATCCTGTATTGTTTCTCGAATTATTGTAGTATTGCTGTTCGACATCGTGCTATACTTATATCAACGCACGACTAATCTGAGTTAAAAACGGGATTCGGTTGGCTGGAAAAGTGTTACATGAAAAATCCTCATATCACTTTAGCGGATGTGATCACATTTCATTAACTATAGGAAGTATCCTAGTGCCATACGGACCGACTTGTTGTCAGGGACAATATGCTTTAAATGGCAAATACATGTATACTGAACATATACTTCAAAAATAAAAGGGGGAAATTCATAATACAAAGACTTGGCATAATAATTGCTTTTGCAGATAAAAAAATCCGATTCTGGTCCTTAAGAAAGAACTTGTTTTGCAAGTACAAAAAAAGCAATTTGAATACGTTTCTTTTTCCTAATGTTCGGGAACGATTAAACTGTAAAGAAACAAATATGTTGTAAACAGCGTTCGACCTTTCCAGTGTTGTCGCACATTCTACAGCACTAACAGTATTGAACTCTCTTCCAGCGTTGTTTGATACATATATATATGACGTCAGCTTCTCCCTGTTATGTCATATGATATTGCGACGTCATCTTTCAGCCAGCAGTAAACAGTGCACGTGACGTCGCCAGATACCTGGGACATTTGTGATGTCTCTGATCTTAACCTTCCACCATTACTGATCGGGCAGAGTCGGACGCGTGGGAAGATGGCGGATACGTGTCACGTGACTCCGCCTGAGATTTCTTTGACTTGTTCGCCAGCTTCTTGTTGATGTCTATAAGAGCATGGTTCATGGCTTCCTCCGCCTGCTTGTCACCTGCAAGAAGAAGAAAATGTTGACGTTTAATTTAAATATGATATTAGATAGCTGTAACTTACTTCATTGCATCATTGTTTACCTCCGTGGCAAACGAACCAAACAATTTAACTTGTCCTAACGACTGACTGTAAAACGCAAATCTGTTTGCATATTAGAATTAACATACAACGTGAAACATTGAGTTATGTTTCGCATTAATTTTTCTGAACTTGTCACAATATTACAGCTTACAGCTGCATTCTTTTTTTTATAAGACTTTTGTTTAACTAGTAAGGACACGAATTAAAAAAATGCATTTTATTTTGGCAAAATAAGATATGAAATATGTACATTTCTTCATGTATGCTAAGCACCTTTCGCTATTAAATGACATGGACATGTTTATAGGACCTAAATAGTGCATGTATCCAGGTACAAGAAAATATAATTTTCAGCACTTGCTTTCGAAATGAATACATGTATAATACAAATTAAACACAAAATAGCATTTTCTATTTTTTAAGAATTTATATCGAGACAGATCTCAATGAAGCCTATCTGGGTTGCAGATAAACCTTTACGATAAGAAGGAAACCAAAAGCAGACATGCAATAAACGAGACAGATGAATAATTGAAATACAGTAAAGAAGAACTACGGGTAAACTACAAGATAAAACTAAGACTTCAGTCCTTCGTCAGTTTATGAATTCATCCGATTCATTACTGAAGATCAATTAAACTTATCATAAATAAACTCACCCAATGCCTGCGCATGCGTCAGGCCGGTTTCAAATGAGTTGTAGGCATCCTTGTACTTCTTCATATTTACTGAATAGAGGAGATGTTATTAGAAATTATATGATATAGTACATTATACAAAGGACTGTCACATTGCTCTGATCAAAGTCTTCATTGACCCTATTTTAACATCTTATTAAGCAATGTCATGTATTTATTATAGTATAAATTGATACGAGAAAATGCTTAAATATCAATACGAATATCTTAAAAAAATTACAAACTAAACCGAATTACTGATGATTTTTTGTAAAAAATCTTCCAAACAATTACAAGGTTTTTAGTAAATAAATGATTGACAGCATGATCAATCTGATTGTTGTCCATAATAAACTCACACCAAATCTTGGTCCTACTTCTCAAAGGACAAAGAGTATTTGTGAATTTATCGGACTCGGCTTCACATAAATACTGATCATAGTATACGTTACTGCTGGACTCACCTTCAGACAGACCAATCAGGACGCATGCCTGAAGCTGTAGTCGCTTGTCGTCTGATTCCTGTCCAGTTTCCAGTGACTTCCGGCCAGCGTCACGGGCATATGAGAAGTTATTTAGCAAGAGGAAGCAATTTCCTATGTCATGGAACAAAGCAGACGATTCGCCTGCAGTCTTACATAACGGGGCTTTCATAGTGTACCTTAAATATACATACAGTAGTCATGCATAGAGAGGCGTTCTTAGTATGGTTTTGCTATTATCATGTATCATGTGGATCGTAAATAAGACTTGTCAAAATGCATTTGTCAAAAGTTCCCAAAAAACACACTTTAAGACGTAGTTGAAGGTTTGTTTATATTTGAGAATATGATAAAAACAATCATTTACCATATTCTCAAATATCATTGTTCTCATGAGTCGTCTACGGACAAATAATCATATGTTGCAAATAAATCAATTTACTTTACTTGAATTTCTGCATTGAGCAACTGATTTTCTAAATAGGTGTTTATCTTTTTTTTCTGGTACAAAAAAAAAAAAAGTGATGTCTCATTATAGTTATAGTATCTGGTAGCATCAAGCATAAGTTGGTGAATCAAATGGACCGTTCGGAACCTTATTAGATTTTGGTTGCAACGATATAACAAGTTCTAGTAGATAACTTACATTTCCAGTGCCCGGTTATATTTCCCCTGTAGCATGTGTGTTCGACCAAGGTTCCCGAGGGCCCTGTAACGGCACGCCATCACATCGCTGGAAATGTAATGTATTTTTCCTTTTGTTGAATTTGGGCAATGCGGGTTAACTCAGATGAACGATTATTGGACAATTACACAACCGTAAGACATATGATAGCATTAAGGTCAGATTTCAAGTTTACATATCGAATTATGATTCGATTCTAGAAAAAACGTATTACAAGATAAAATGAATTGACATCCGTTACGGAGTACATATTAACAGATGAGCACATTACAAATTTGGCCAACTTACAGTGTATGTATTCAAAAACAGTTAACAGAAACTTCGATCAACGCAATCAAATTTTAGCGCGAAATACAGTTTACAGTTTACATTAAATTGAACCTTGCTATCATTGTTCCCACAAACAAGCAGAGAATTACATATTCTTTATAGAAACATGATAGAAAATCCACCAGCAGAACATAAAGTTGATCGTGTGTGTAAATAACACATAAATTAAAAAGAAAACCTTGATTACCTTTTCTTAATGTTGAAATTTGAAATGCTACAGTAACATACGTACTATGCAACTGAACGAATAAATGTTTTAATTAAAAGTGGCGCCAATTAAATTCTTTTTCATACTGAGGTAAATAATAGTTTGTTTTTCTTGAACATATTTAATGAATAATTAAGTTCATGTTATAGTATAATTTATTTACCTACATAAACAAACACAATAGCATGACCGTTACCATTTCTCGCCGATTTTCAGGTCTATCGTGTGGTGTTTCAGTGCCCGTGTGAAATCACCAGCTTGTACCGCCACGTTTCCAAGGTAACTGTTAAACAAGCCAGTCAGTTCAGATTTCTCTGGAACGTTAGCCTCGGAATATTTCGCCAAAAGGTCCAGTCCAGACTCGCATTTCTTGACGGTGTCCGCAAATTTTCTTTGTGCATACACTGTATGTAGTAGAATATAATATTATCAGGTAGTTTATAAACAAAGTGCATTATTGTACAAGCAAATGAGCTTGTTCGTGTTTATAATTGTCTCATTTGATTTGCGATGTTGATAAGCATCAGAGCGCTTCAAAGTCCTATCTCGTTAGCTTATAAGCTGTACTCTGGTTATGATGTTCCTTAACATGACAAATTCAACTTCTCGCTCAAATGTTTACTGAAGCTATTTTCACTACAAAAAAACTTATCTATTATCCTGTTGCATATCCATTAGAAATTAATTGAACCAGCAAATATGAAAGGAAGCCCATACTTTTTCAAAACGCTTTCTAATAACATATTAATAACAAATTGCTGAGGATTTTGTAAAACGCTTGGGCGTGTGCTCCGAGCTGTCATGGTTTCGCCTAATCCGCGAAATCTTCTTAATGTTACTTTCATCAACACTTACGTGATAGAATTACATCTAATTCTTTTCTGAGATAATCCGTCACAGCATGGCTGATAGATTTGGTTTCTTCCTCCGTTTGCTTTGAATCGGTCAAGTCTTCATTTTCTTCTGCGATTTCTGTCATTCGTCGTGTACCAAGATCCATGCTGGGATTATGAGTTTCAAACTTAAATTCCAGTGATGTCGGATCTGGCTTCGGTTTCGTTCCCTTATCAGGCTTGTTGAGTCCAAGCCTTGATTTGATTGTCTTAGTTTTCCAGCTCATTCCGGAGTCTCCAGATTTCCATGTTGTCTTTGAATCACCAGTCCGAGCTGTTCCGAGTGTATCTACCGACAAGGAACTTCCACTAAATCTACTCGCTCGCGATTTCTGGAGAGGGGGTGGAGGCGGAAGTGGACCAAGGCGATTCCAGTAATGGTACCGATCGTACAGAAAGCTGACAGCATCCTCTGCTTTGTCTTGTATAGGACTTCCCATACCCCCCACAGCTGAAAACAACAACCAACAGGATTAAAACTGGAGTCTTGCATTCAAAACTCATATCCCGGATTACGACCTCCTTCATGATATCACTTTTCTATATCAGAGGCTCTGAGTGTGTAAATTGTACCAATTCCCATTTCTTATTAGGTAATAGCAACATCGATTTATCAATTTTTGTTCCAAAATATTTTGTTATATGTATCTTCTGTACCTTAATCATTTATTGATAGATGTGAAGTATATTTACAATAGAAAGTTTAAGTTCAGTGCGAACCAGTTGCAGGCCCTATGAGTTGACGATGAAATACATCACAACTTAAACAGAAGATATAGTATGAGAAAGGGACGTTAGAATCAAAGGAAATATCATTGGCCGAGTGATACTCTTTTTGCGTATCGGCAAAAAGATATGATAAGTCGATGAAAGACCCCACGAAAAGGACGGAACATGTTATTTCATATAATTAAATTATCAAGTTTTACAGTTATCATTGTTATAAATAAGCCTACTGTATTTTTTTTTTTTTTATAGTTATATATATATAATAGTCATACAGGCAAGCTTCCCTAGACCTTATGAAAGATCATGGTTAATCAATCAATGCTAATTATTTTCAAAAATAATAGTATATTTTTATGAGTAATACATTATTGTAACAGTGCTACTCTAATATCAAGAGGCCTATATGTAGGATGTTTCCGTAATTGCAAAGTCAAAAAGACACGTGTATATTCTTACCTGGAAAGACTGAGCTACTTGACAGCTTTTCCAGATACTTTTTGTCTTTGTAGAGTTCTTTCAGAGTCGTTTTCACCATCTTACTTTCCGGACGTTTTTCTTCCTCGTTCAGGGTGGCAACGGAAGTAGATGGCGTGTGGGACAGATTCGGAAGTGACATCACACGAGGAAGGATGACTGTAGGTGTCTTGTGTATTCTGATAAGCTGACAAAGTGGACGATCCCGAAAGGACGCGCTTGGCTTCGGTAAATGTTTTGTAGGACTCTTCGTTTTGTTCTCAAATGTAAATGGTTTACCTGCAGGCTGAAACAACCAAAACGAAACTAAACGATATCCTGATGTCCCATTTTATGATATCAATACATAACCTATATTAAAATATATATATATCTTATTTTAGATATTAAATTTATCAAATGGCAAAATAGTATTTATTTTTAAAGTGCATATGATTCAGGATGTTAATTTATAGATCTTCTCTGGCTAAAAGAAAATGTGGGACAGGATTTCCGAAATAATTAACCGCTCTCCAGAAAAGCAGGTTCCCGTCTCTAACACTAATCCGTGTATCTTTGATGAGTGTTAAACAATGAAATCGTAATTGTCATTGATGATCTCTGAGGTGGTGAATTACACCTACCGATTTGTGGACAAGATATGTCAGATCTCCTGCATGGGTCAACTTCATTCTCTTCGCTGTAATCAGAGGGAGCATAATATCTGGTTACAATGCCTACAAATGCCGGAACATCTGGCCCACGTATTACAACCAGTTAAATTAATGCTCATCTATCTGTTGCAACAAATAACATCAATTTTGACCTGCCTATGGCCACAAATGTTATCAATCCTGCCGGATGTATTACATTAAATCGAATCGATTTTGTCTTCTGCGTGTCAACAAATAAAGCAATTTCACGCCTTTAGGCAATTATATCTTGACAAAGAATAAAAATATTGATAAGAGAATATTCAGAATTAATACAATGCTTAACTTTCAAATCATTAGCAAAACTGAACCATGTAAATTTCATTGTTACGTATTTCCTACCTTATGCATGTACATCAGGTCACTGCAGTCAATATATACAAATGTACCTTTTTTACGGTTGCCCTTTGTGATGAAGTGGTCGGCTTTCTTGGAGCCCTCCTGGAATGCCGCACTCCTAGGGTAGTGTTTTAGACCTCTATTATAGTACACGAGGGCCATTTCGTAACTCTGGGTCTTAAACAACACTTCAGCTTTCTGAAGAAGAGCCTGAAAGATGTAAACAACACTTCAGCTTTCTGTAGAAGTGCCTGTGAAACATAAACAACACATCGGCTGTATTTAGCAATACTATATAAACAACACCTCAGCTTTCTGGATAAGTCCCAGTAACATATAAACAACACTCCAGCTTTCTACAGAAGTGCCAATGACATATAAACAACACTTCAGCTTTCTACAGAAGTGTCAATGACATATAAACAACACTTCAGCTTTCTACAGAAGTGCCAGTAACATATAAACAACACTCCAGCTTTCTACAGAATTGCCAGTAACATATAAACAACACTCCAGCTTTCTACAGAAGTCCCAGTAACATATAAACAACACTTCAGCTTTCTACAGAAGTGCCAGTATTATATAAACAACACTCCAGCTTTCTACAGAAGTGCCAGTAACATGTAAACAACACTTCAGCTTTCTACAGAAGTGTCAATGACATATAAACAACTCTTCAGCTTTCTACAGAAGTGCCAGTATGATATAAACAACACTCCAGCTTTCTACAGAATTGCCAGTAACATATAAACAACACTTCAGCTGTCTACAGAAGTGCCAATAACATATAAACAACACTTCAGCTTTCTACAGAAGTGCCAATAACATATAAACAACACTCCAGCTTTCTACAGAAGTGCCAGTAACATATAAACAACACTCCAGCTTTCTACAGAAGTGTCAATGACATATAAACAACACTTCAGCTTTCTACAGAAGTGCCAGTAACATATAAACAACACTTCAGCTTTCTACAGAAGTGCCAATAACATATAAACAACACTTCAGCTTTCTTCAAGATGTGCCTATAATATATAAACAATACTTCAGTTTTCTGGATAAGTGTCTGTAAATCATAAAAAGCACCTCGGCTGTGTGTAGCAGCATTACATAAACAACATATCGACTTTCTATCCACAACAGCGCTACATACATCACAACTGTGTACAACACATTAGCTTTCAAAACATATCAAAGCCAATTCCTATTTGATGCAATCTCTTTATTATATAATATACAATAGTTTACTATAATTAAACAGCAAACAATTCTGTCTATTTCTTAAAAGGTACGGATACTGCGAAGTACTTAAACATAAAAGAAAAATGAATGCTCATTTTATAATATGACATAGTGTGGAATTGATTTCTGCATTAAACAAACTAAACATCAAAGACAGGGCCAGGGAATTGCATAGTGTTTAATCACCAACGATATCAAACTGCTTGAAAAATGTATGTACATTGGTTTGTAACACTTTTGAAATCGATTTCTGTATTTCAACATTATACGTCTAAACATTGCCTTCTGTTCATTCTCTCCTGGAATTGAACCAAAACCAAGGTGCCACACCACCTGAAGGTCATCAAATAGATTTTGTTTATGAATGCGTGAAATTAAATTTGAACACCGGAGCTCTGTATGAGACATTATCGTGTAGTGGTATTTTAACTTCGAAGGAGACATAATTAGGTACTCACAATTTTGTAAACTAAACTTAATATTTTCTATAGAAATACCTTCGATTCGAATACAATTTTTGAAATATTCATTATTCCTTGCTAGAAAAGTAGTTCATCAGCAGTCAACTGTGTCGTTCTCATTTAACATAAACGAGTAAGTTTATGCTAAGGAATATCTGTAATGTAATATTTCAAGAAAATATATAAAACAACAAAACCGTTCTCCATACTCTTTCTACAATGCTATATCTGATTCAAGGTTTTTACATCCGTGTAACATTTTAGTTTCTCTTGATCGTAAACGTTTAATATACAACTCCAGAAAAACTCATACATGTGAATTATACACTTTGTATTATAGGTCTAGCACAAATCAATAACCACAACACTTAACCCCGATAGTGTCTTTCTTTAGAAAATGCCTAAATTGTTATGCTTCTCGCGATTAATAAATAATGTTTGTCACTGCCTTGCCTCGCTCAACAGAAAAGATGAAGGTTACACACAAAGTTGAAAACATTGATTATATACTATTTAGTACTCGACGCTAATCCAATAATTATTCTTTTGAATCCTTTGATAACACAATAAACTGTTTAAGTGCTGAATGTTAATTGAAGCCAGATCAATATATTAGACGTTTATGTTTAAAATAATCAATATATTGATTTCTGTATCTGAGCTTTCAGTAGATCCTTGAAACTCTCCAAAATGAGTTTTGACTATTTGGATTTACAGACCATATATCTGTTTGACTCGAATTTTGATCCTTCAAAAAGTCATGACAAGTTCTGTTCGACTTCTGAAATAGCTGAATGTGACGGGACATTTGCAGCGCTGTTCTGTTTTGGTTCAATAATTAAGATTTGATTATTTTAATAAGTAATCAATATGAATTTTATTTATAAAACCATTGTACCGAAGACTACGCATATCTTAGTTATGTGGTAGAATTAGAAATAAATATACATGGACTCTATAAACCACAATGTCCACATACAAGTACAATGCAGTGCTCCGATAGGATAACCAATTCCAATGACCAACAAGAGGCATTTGTCATGTTGTCCCAGTAATTTAACGAGGTTATCAAACTTCAGTCGATTATGTCAGGACTTACAAATACAGTTGATTTTTTGTTTAATCGCTTTATGTTGCTCATCCTACAAGCTATTTTTAAAATATAAACTTATCGTAAAATCTGGTGCATGTCTCTCCCCTACCCTGACAAAACCTCGTTTGTCCTCTGAAGACAGTTGCGTCAATACATTTACATGTGGTAGGATGGTGACCCAAAGGCCTCAACAATCGATAACATATAGGATTATAGTATACTTGTATAAACTTGGATTATATACATACATGTAACCGTAAATAGTAACTATTTACCGGTAGATAGTTTAATGGCGGTTGACCTGACAGGTTATGTAAACTTTATTATACAATAAGCTACATTTTCAATAACGAATTGTTTATAATGATTAACATTTAAACTTGTAAGTTTTTTTATTCATAAACATAAACAGATAAACCTGAACAAAAATTGTATTTTTTATAACACTTTTGATTGTTTTCAACTAATTAAGCTGGACATACTTTTACATAGGTTAAATAAAAGACATAATTTTGCATGCCTTGTTAGCTTAATGAGTTGTCGTCTGGAAATCTACAAGTTATCTTATAGACGTTTAACATTGACATACGTTTTCTTTGACTTCGATGGAAAATTCGTTACCCTAGTCGTACAATTAAGTTAAAACTGTTATTGCTTTTACAAAGATAACCTTCACTTTACGTAGATCTTCATGAAAAGAGGTTTAACAACTTGGAGTAAATGTATAAAAATAAGTTCAAATAAAGGCTTGTCATGTTGTTACTGCCATCGAATCCGGTTTCGGAATATAAACGTTCCTTTAACTATTTCAAACTCGGTGTACATGTCATGTAAGTAATATTGTTAAAATTGTTATTAAGGTTATAAACGTATCCGTACGTACTAGGTAAGTTATTGTGACACTAAACAACGATACACAATTCAGTTCAATAAGTAAGCCCATTTAAAAGGCCTGGTATTTTAATGGCACAATAAATACAAACATTTACAACCAGAAGAATCTGTAAACCAAACTGTATTTCGTCATTCTAATGTATCCCATGCATTTGGGATCGGGGAATAGAATAGGCCCTGCGAAAACATTGCGCTGCGTCAGAGGCATATACATGTAAATGTTATATGCATCTTTTTATTTTCTGTCATGCTGCTATCTTTCCTGAAATTGTCTGTCTCTCCAATTTTAAACTATATGAAAGCTGTTGGTCTTTCACTAAAATTTGAGTCACCATAGTTATTTTCAATATTCATGCTGACGTTTGTCTTTTACCCTTACGTTTGTTTGATATTTTTATCCTGCATTTGTTTTGTCGACCACTGGTTGGCTCTAATGACTTATCCTGGTTTAATGGGTCTTTAAGCATGTTATGATAGTTATAATGGTCGCCTACTACAAGGTCATGTTACCACGTCATGACCTTAAGGTTTCGTATGGTCCTTAAAAAGAAAGAAACAAAAAGAAATTCTAAAATTGTTTTTCATATAATCTTGTCATGAAGGGATGAGGAAGACTTGTATGTAAATAAAAGTAGAAAAAAATAATCAGAGAAAAAAGGAAGATTTGGTTAATGATTAGCTCACCTCTTCGTCCGGATCAGTATAATCATATTCACTTAATCCTTGTGTTACGTAGTCATAAGTAGCATAGCGTTCGACCCAATCTATTGTTAATTCAGACATCGTAATATAAACAGAGTACTTTTGTTATACTTCTGTCAGTTTAGCTCTTTAAATTATCTTCGTGTTTCGCATGAGACATATCAGCCGGTCCATTTCTAGTTCAGAGTTCATTTGTATTCCAGTCAGGCCGCTTATCACTTCAATAGCAGTTTGCTACAACTCTAGCGTGTCCATTTCATTCTTAGAATGTCCATTTCAATAGTCAGCTTTGATTTATTTCGTTTTTGAAGTATCCATTTCAGAAGTAATCAAAAGTTACAAATATTTAATAACGCAGCTCATTGCAAATGTCTGATATTTTCCGCTGAAATTCAATGTGTATGTAAAGCCGTCTTTCACCCCCAAGGTATCCTTCTCGAACGTCTGGTTAATATCCAATGTTTATGCCCAACGCGACAAATCGATTTGGATTTCTGTCACAAACACAAGTTTCCATGCTGTGTGCTTTGCACCGACTTGTGACAGAGGTAAGTAAAATGAATGCACAAATACTGTAACATAGTTATCTGTCAACGTCTCCGACAGTTGACTCTTAAATAATGCATACACAACACAAACTTCTTCGTGGTATGTTACGGTAGATCATTTACCATGGGTTCTTTTGTTGTCGAGTATTTAAGCCTGGGGAGCCGTAGACGGAAAGTAGGAATGAAGAGTATAGAATGCCCCGTCATTACCACTCCGATACACACATGTACACACGTAGACCAGATATACAATTATTGATCCAAATAGGAATGGATTTCTCCATGCATAGTTAAAACTTGTTAAGGAAGTACACAAAATGGGTAGCGCTATTATGTCGTTTTATGAATATAGCGGTAATTACATTTCTTTGACTGTTTACGGGGGTCTTCCGAAACACGTTAAACACTGTTTGGTACGGCTAGGACAAATCATTTAAGTAACAATTCAAGGCTCACTGACATGTCGTGGTCTTTAAAAGGTGAGTATTTAATGTTAATGGTCAATTACCGAAATATAGGCGTTCGACTATTAACACGGCAATAAGCAGTTAATCGAACGTCTGAACAAATGGTATATGTGTATTTTGATGGAGATAAAGTTGTCACGAAGGTGTATTTTGCTGGTTTTTATTTCATTATTAACGTATCAACAACAAGTCAATATGACCTTAATTGTAACAAGTTTTGGTATCTTTTGTAGAGAGGTTTTTTTTTCAAATTCACAAAATGGAGATTAAAGTGAAATACTCAGGTGTTGGCAATATGCACGTATACCATTCGCCTTTTTATAAATAATAATAACAAAAACAATTCTAGAAAATAACGATTTTATCAAACCCACTGAGTTTCATATCTGATGCAAATGTACCATTGCAATGCACATACCTCTCCTAATGCATAAGAGAAAGTTTGAACGTTTTTGTCAAATATACTTTGTTGGAATATTGTTGTAGATTTTCCTCATTTTTGTCCGAAACTAAATTTATGGATGAGTATTCATCCAAATTCCAAATACACAATGTATATGAAATTTGTAAAATCCAAGTTAATGTTTCAATTGAGTTTTTACTAGAATTCTACAATAAAACGATTATTTATTAATAGGATACAATGAATTGTATCTACATTTGTAATATCATTCTTGGTGTGTTAAAGTGTCATTAATTAAGGAAAGAAACAGATATACCAGGAGGAAAAGAATGAACAGGAGAACGAAATATTAAAGCACGGGATGTGACAAACAATTGATCAGTAACAGCGTATGGAATGTGAACAGTCTATCACAACGACTGTCTGCGAAGGAAAGGACCATCACAGATTATATTTTATATCAGCATTATAATGCAGCTTGTTTATGTACGATCTTACTTGTATAATATATGTACGTTGTAAATCAACCTTAAAGTGTACTAACGATGACGCAATAGAAGCATCTGTCTTGACCTGATGTATTGATTTTCTGAATATAACGTATTTTGTACATGTACCATATTTTACACTGGATTTCCCCATCTCTCTTCTAACTTCCCTTGTAATTTATCCCTAGCCATGTCACTATCCCTAAGCTGTAGTTGTTAATGTTGATTACGATGAAAGGTGACAGTTTCTGTCTCAAATTCATTTATGTTCAATCATGTTTGTATTATGCATTACATAATGTTATGTGCATAAAACAAAGTTTAAACTAAAGAGATATCGACGATACAAAATCCATTGTGTGCATTGAAACATTAGCGTGCAGTTACATTATCTTAGCTGTTTAATGTACCCGAGATACGACAGAATTGTTATCTTTATGAAACCTGATGTCCTTTCTACATGTTCATGTACTTCAAAATTTGATTTTAGTGTAATCTGACTTTTAATTATGGAATTATTAATAGCCTAACTCATGTAGGATTTCAATTTCAATTTTAATCAAACATGGTTTCTTTCATCGAGTTTTCTCTTGAACACTTGCGATTTGATTGACATGTAATATTTGATTATTTTGGTAGACCATTTTGTTTACCCAACCCAGTGGTTTTCTATTTCAATATTAAACCCCAATATGATCTCGGTAAAGAACATAATAGATTTTGCACTTGAATACTCCCGATTCAATTGTGGTATGACGTTTACTTATCTTTGTAGATCAAATTGACCTAAAACGTATTTCGATTTCAATATCCGACATAATATCCTATTATTCTGGAGTTTACTCTTGAATGCGTCAGATTTATTTGTGGTTTCGTGGCAGATTGTTTATCCACAAAGGGTAGGAATACGATATGTCAATGCAATGTTTAGGCGGCAGAATCAGCAATCAATAAGCTCAATAATGTATATTCAGTTCGCAAATATTAACAGAGCCATATACAGAAAGAACATTGCTGAGATTTATAATGCTAATATGAGTTTTCAAAAGAGTTATTATGGTTATTGATCCGACGGTCTGCCAATATCCAGGCAGGGGAGTAAAACTAAATAATTTATGTATATTAATGATAGATGAAATTTAAAAAATCTTCTTGCAGTCATATTTTTGTCTTCTCCCATGTAAATCAGGGCGCCGGGGGAAGGGTCTTTTTGTCAAGGGTAAGATAATCTTCTCAAAAATTTCTATCATATGAATACAGTTGCCAAAGGAGACACAGATGAAAAAGAAAGTAGGTAAAAGAGAAAGAAAAAAAATATAGATCTTTAGTGGATAGATCGATAATTTAGACTCCCGGTGTGTTTACCATAAGCAGACGACCTCACCCAGTTGTTGAATGTGAAAGCCTATAGTAGTATTCCATGCAAAATAAGCTAGGATGTATGGAGTTCCTTGTGCTTAATTCAGGAGGGGAGGGAGGATAAGAATGTTAACACATGACTCACATTTGTTTTGCTAACTTCACAGCGTAAAATTAATTGACATAATCGGGACCGCCATTTTACGTCCCCATCCGATAAGAATTAACTCTATGCATTGAACATGAAGCCAGATAGGATAGTGTATTCCATATAATCTATAGTGCGTGAACGGTTCTTTCGTACGATCTCAGACGGACCGAAAAAAACGACTGTCACAATAATAACCAAACTATTAGCTCAGTAGATGATGCCGACAACTCATTTAGGACTAACGATTACACCGTGTATAGTGACACAAGTGGGGATAAGGTGATGAAAGTTCAGGGGTTCTGACTTCGAAGCGTGCAGATAATGACAGAGGTAAGCAAACATACTTGTTTATGTTTCCAGACATATCTTTGGTACCTACAATACTGAGCGCGGGTTGTGGGAATGTTTTAGTGATAAACGATCTTACTTGTGCTGTACTGTGTGGATATTGTTCGTACTTACGTTCATTTTGCTATAAATACGAGTATTTTCCTCGCGTCTTCCTTTATTATGGTTAGGAATATGATTCCAGGGCCTGTATTCATGAAACCGTTCTCGTGCTGAAGCATGGATTTTGTGCTCAAGCTAAAATTTCTTGTTCGGTCTTCAAATTGTTAAGAAAATCTTATTTGATCAATGATTTGGGAAAACCTTAACGAGAGTTGAAGGCGAATACTGTTTTCAATGTTTATATTTGATTTTTGATCGTTTGACATGATTTTAGCGAGTTGCAAGAAAGTTGGTTTGAGCACAGAATCTATGCTTGCGCATGAGAACGATTTCATGAATACAGGCCCCGTATCTTCAGGAGAAGTAAATAGTTGCATTATATAATGCAACTGTTGCTATTTTATACCTTTGCATAAAACAACTCTTAAATTAAGCAGTAAAATGACATCTGTATCATGGATATCCTTGGTAGGCATTAGATTTCGGTTAAATTGTTATTTTGCTCCAAACGAATAAGGAATGATAATCGAAGTGCTGTCATACCCTAATTTAAAGAATCGACTATTTGCCGAAACCGCATTACTCTGTTAAACCTAAACCCCAATACCAACATATATTTTCGCAATGATATTGACATTTTTACTGCTTCAAAGGACGATTTACATAAAACCAACACTTGTATATATATATGATGCAACTATTCACCTCTTTACAAGATGCAGAAATCACATTCTACACAAAGCAATAGAGTAACATGTAAAGGGAACTGTTTGCTTAGGAAGCGAAATCAACGTAATCACCGTGATTCTTTGCAACTTTAGTAGGAAATTGCACAGAGCAAATCAGATTGATATAACACAGAAACATCCCCCTACCCGTCCACGACACTTTGGCCACCAAAGATATCTCTGGAAGAAAATGAAAGTATATGTCTTTGCGTTAGTGATATCCGTCTCGCTTCGGTGTCAACACTACGCCTCTCACAAAGACCAATACCCCACTTGTGAGGCTATACACAGTGTTCTACGGCATGAATCGTGGTTTCATGTTTGGTGAATGCAGATGGATGACAAGTTATGTCATATGTAAATATCATGTCCACAAATGATAACTGTCTTTTCACTAAAACATCACACCCTTGCCACAGTAACATGACACCATAACCGAACACGATACATGGGTTTACTCAGAGACGTATATACTGCATGGCTTCATATGTCTCTGGTTTACCGAAGTACCGCAGGACGGAATGATGACGGGGCAGAGAAACCTTACCTCTTTGTCCAAATTGTCGAGATGGAGGGCTATATCAATGTCGTCTGTAGCCTTCCTGATCTGGTTTAGTTTCAGATGACACTTTGATCTGTTGATGAGTGATTTCACATCAGCCGGGTCACAACGTAACGCCTGAAATCAAACAAAATATACTCGTAACTGTCGGACATAACGACGATTCCTTGTCAGCTTCAAAATGCTTCGTTTACTTGACTGGGCTTGATTACCACCAAAAACCAAAAAAAAACACAATTCTCGTGTCCCTGTGTGGCCGATGATACTAACACTGCAAGTTCGTAGGAGTTATCCCCCTTAAATCGAACAAGCTTACACAGAGACGACGCCCATGTGTATTGTTCACACAGACATAATTAGCTTGAAAATGGTCGAGCAGAACTCTACAGAAAATTACACAGCGTAATACTTGGTTAGTTTGGCGGGAAGTAAAGTGTAAATTGATACTGGAGAAATACTTATACATGATCTGTGATGGCGGATGGAATCTACAGGTTTTTTAATAAAAATACATATATAACATGCAATCATAGTCTCCCCTTCTGTTTTTCCGCTATATTCACATGTAACTAAGAAATATAAAGTGCTTCGGTTATTTTTCCTATCAAAGAAGTTCTGCAAACGCCA